GAGGAGAGTGGTGAAAATAGAGAAGTGGGGGAGCTAGGATGCCAGAGGCGTCACTCAGAAGCCTCTGGGTTTCTTTTTTTTTTTTTTCATTTTGCGCCGCAGAATGATAAGGACAAGGAGGCAGAGGCTGGCAAGGAGGGAAGGAGCACGAGAAAGAGAAGACGAATAGAACCAAGTGTAAGCAAGAGGCTGATCAGGCAGAAAATGTTGTCATCGTCTCGTGAATAGAAAGACAGGATGATCGCACTGATATTCAACACCATCTCTGGACCCAGACAGAGATGGGAGGAACGAGGGAGGGAGAGATAGACAGAAGGAGGGGGAGAGAGAGAGAGATTGCTATCACATGAGAGGGAGGGGAGTAATAGCAAGGTGAGGGGAGGGAGCGGGAGAGAGCAGGAGGACTAACGACACTGAAAGCTCTGGTAGGGGCGCCAGAGGCAAGGAGAGAGTAATCGAGAGAGGGGAGTGGAAAGGAGGAGAGCAGCACAACAGCCTGAATAGAGTGGTGTGCTGAAATAACTGTGCAAGAACAAGGAGGACAAAGGGAAGACATCTGACTGGGAAGGAGAAAAAACATCAGGAAAAAGAGTAAACTGGAATTGCAAATGAAATAGGGACAGGAGATAAAGGTAAAGGGAAGATCTGGAGGACGATTGGGTCCAATAGTTGAACCCCAGAGATTGAAAGTGTTTTTCTCGCTGGGAACTGTAAGTGAAGCATATTGCGAGCCTTTGCACATGTTTTGTGTCTGGATTATACAGATGAAGACAGAGAACACCTGTTATTCTAAGTGACAGACTGTAACAGTCTTTTCGCTCACGCACTGGACTGTCTCTGCAGCATTTTTCCTACCTGCACGGTGTTTGACCTTCCTTAGTCAGCAAGCAGAGTGTGACTGCAGAGAGGAAAAGAGTGAGAAAGAAGGAGAGGTGGAGAGAGGGAGCGTCTACAGAAAAAAACACACAGGAAGAGAGGGAGAGTGTTAAAGTGGAGTAGCAGCCGAGGGAGTTGTTGCATTGTGATTAGTGTGCCTGTGCAGTCTGCACTATCCTCGCAATGTAAGACCTGTTCTCTACTGCATGGGGCTCTTCTGGCAGTGCGGTGAGAGCTTGAGGATGTGATTTATTTTTTTATTTTTATTTTTTCCCCAGAAAGCTTGAACCCTTGATCGGCTACAGCTCCTTAAACCGGCCTGGGTGATTAGACACCTGAAGACTGAACTGAAGTGACCTCAACTTTTTTGAAAAGGCCTGGACTTTTTTTTTTTGTTGTCTTTTCTTTGTTGAATGCATTTTTGAATTTTTAGATGCACTTTCAAATGTCAGTGCTTTGAATCTTTTGGAACAATGGATATGTCAGACAACCCCCAAGGGTGCCCTGCTCGTGCTCCCAGGGCGGGAGACTCTAGGATGGGGGAGGCTAGAGTGGGAGAGGGGATAAGAATGGGGGAGAGAGACACGCCACTGAGGCTGTCACCTTTCCGTATGCTTCGGGTGCTGGACTCATGCCGTCCTCCAGGAAACCGTATTGGTGAGTCTGTCATCATATATCCTCAAGTTCGTCTATTTTTTGATGCTACATTTTAAGTCGATGTCCAAGAATATACTGATCAGGTTTTTCTGACACTATGTAGATGAGATGTAAGTAACTACATACCTGTGCCAGTAAAGCCTTAGAATAGTTGTGTTCCCTTTGGTTTACCACATATGATATGTCTGTTGATTTTACTCTGTGGGACATGAAACTGAGGTTTTGTTCTGTACAAAGACGTGACTTTATGCAAGTAGCTTTCTCTCAGAATGTGCTGATCCTACAAATTTGAACATCTAAACTTATTATACATCAAAATCTGCTTTCTTTCATGTTGCCGGTTTAAAGATGAGAGATGCGGCGTGTTAGCCCAGAGCAATGTGTGTTGGTATCTACAGGGATCCCATGAGCTCCTTGGAGAAGTGAAGTCCTCCTTTTGAATTTTTTATTCATTTGCTTGTCAGCACAATGACTGCAGTATCTCTGTTCCTGCTGCTCAGGCCAAATTCAGACAGTATGCTGTCCTGTGCTTAAAAGGAGTTTGAGAACTCCTGGCTGAAGAGCAAAAAAAGGGAAGCGAAAGGATTCAGTTCAAAGCCAACGCCACAGTGAGTGACGTGAATGTGGCCAGTAACTATTAATTCTACCAGTAACCCAGTGAACTCAGTGTCTGGCCCCGTCAAGTGAAGGCTTATGACAAGAAATCCCAATATTGTAGCTTCTCTTTGAAGGGCTCATGAAGTGAATCTTAGACTTGCTTCACTTCTTTTGTCACCCTTTCCACTGACTTTTCCATCATTTTCAAGGCCCCGTTATCATCTGCTGGAGATGAATTCCCAGCTGAGTGGAACACACGCAGAGCTAGGTGAGGTAAGGATAGCCTCTCAAAGTAGACCACTCACTCTTCCAGACGGACTAGCAGAGAGTCAGCAACCCTAACTAGGCCAGTCTGGCCTCATACAGGGAGGCAGTGGTAGCTCATGACATTTTCTGTCTGCTCTTTCAGTCACATTATAGAAGTGGAACAGACAGAGCCTGCAGGAGACTGGAAAGTAATGTTTTGTTTGATGGGAACTTTGAGTTTGTTTTAAGGCGAGAAATTGTGCTAGAGAAGTTGGTGTCTGAAACAAATACACGTACTGCATGTGTTATATTGTTTTGGGTCCCCAGTGATGGAATTTTCCTCCCAAAGCCAGGTTGTCCTGTCTCATCTACCCACATCTGTGTGACTGTTTACACAAACAGATAAGATCAGGACTTCTCAGAAAGCGAGAAAGCCCTGTGATATAATACTAGTGCTGGATACTCACTCGTTCTGAGCGCGTGCGTCTGTCAGTATGTAGATATCCTGGATCAGTTTCTCCTCACTCTGGTGTCAGTTACCGTGGGTTTAATGTTTCACCGTCAGGGTTGTAAGGGTTGATTCCTGATATGACAACTGACTGCTCAGTTTTCTTACCAAGGTACATTCATTGCCTGCATCCACGTGTCTGGCTTTGAGGCCACGGGGAGATTTAAATGATTCTGAAGTGGTGTATTAAGCATTTACACAGATGGGTTGTGTTTGAGTTGGGTTACGCTAATGAGCATATGGTGCTTTTGTCAACAGATAGACGACTGGGCAGATGTAGGTTGGAATTATCAGCTGGCATCTATACAGGTAGTTGACTGTTTATGTCATTATACAAGTCTCTGATACATTTTAAATATACAGTTTGCTTTTAATATTATATAATTTATACTTGGAGTACATTGACGTACAGAGGCCTTGTCTACAATGTAGCCGAGTAAGGAAATAAAATATAGAAAGTAGGTGCACAAATTGAAATTTTCAATGGCAATGACAATAAAAATGTGAAAGGCCAAGTTGGTAAAATAACAAAAACACTGATTAGAGGATTCAGGATTTAAAAACAAATTAACAAACTTCAGAGCAGAGTTTGCTTAATTTTAGGAAAAGCACAGTCAGAAGGTGGCATCCTGTCCATTCATAACAAAAATGTTGGACCAATGCACGTACAATCCAAAAGTTAAAAGAATACATAAGTCATTATGGAATAAATACATCTGCCTTGTTCGTCAGCTGGCTAAGTAGGCAATGGCCTGTTTGTGAACTGTTTTTCCCTTTTACAGCCGCATCTTCTAGCTTGTTAATTCAGAATTACTTTGTCATTATTGTTGCATTGGTTAATGGGTGACGGCATGTGGCACGTGATTTGCAACGCCACTGTCATGAAATAAATGAAATATTTGCCATTGGAGAAAATCATTTTGAATAAAAACTAAAAATGTTGACATTATAAAGTCCCGTGTGATCCTAAAAGTAAGGATGAATAAAAAACACGTCTTAACAAGGTGTTCCTTTTCATATTTTTTTCACCAATTTATTCCTGTGATTATTTATTTCATAACTATGTATTTTCTTAAACACTGAACACACTATGAACACTTCATAGATGCATTTTAAACCACGCCCTCTTTTTACTGATAGTAAATAAAGAATTATTTTAGAACTGCTTAACAATTGAGAAATAATGACAGGCTATAAAAAAATATGAATAAAGCTGTGTTGAAAAGCTAGGCAGTTGTGTTATGCTCATACACTGCTCCCTGTGTCTGTATTCCTTTTGTTTTTTTCTTTTTTAACCCGAAGACAGAGTTCGTTGACTAGCTCGTCTTTCTCAAACCCTATCCCTAATTACATGAAAGGGACACACACAAATGGCCTAGAAAAAGCCTCAGGTGTTCTCGCAGCTGGCAGACAGTGCGCTATAATAAATAGCTTTACCTATCTGGCCCTCAGTCGTTATATCCCACGGCTGAGGTGTCACAGTCACTCAGGGGACTTATTTTTCTTTCCACTTCATCACTTCTACCCACCAAAACCAACCTCCCCCCGATCTCCTAATCTCCCCTCTATCTGTCCGTCTTCTGCTGATGGTGGCTGTAGTCAGTGTGAACGGTAGATGATGTAAGGGAAGATATTACCAATGTTAGAAGCGTCATTTTAGCCCCTTTCATGGAAAAGTTTCCACCTCAGACACACACACAGATGCTCACACATACTGTATGTGTGAGCATGACCCAGACTGTAGAGCTGAAAGCCAAACGGAGACCCTTCCCCCACATTTACTCACACACATACAGACCCACACACTATCGAAGGAGGCAGTCCTGTCTGCTGCACTGTGACTCATTAATCAGATGGATTCTGGGCCGGATGAAGGTGTGGGGGGTGGCAGGCAGAGACGGGCAACGCTCCGATTGCATGCAGGGTAATATTGATTTCTGACTTCCTCATTTTACCAATGGCATTTTATACACACTCAGTTAACACCCCTCCATGGCTGGTGGTACAATCCATCATCTGGGGATTGGGACTCTACTGTGGTTTACAGAGAGGGGTGGATGAAATTTAACAATACAGTGACAGACTGAGCATAAATCTGTACGTTTGTGTTTTATAGGCATCGTCCATGAAAACGTGAAGATGGGTTCAGACGGGGAGAGTGACCAGGCATCTGGGACGTCCTCTGATGAGGTCCAGAGTCCAGTGAGGGTCCGCATGAGGAACAACCACCATCGGCGCATCTCTAATGAGGTACTGGAAGCGGGGACACACCTGCACACAAACACACCTGCTTTTACACCAAGCATACTGCCCTCAGTGCATCTTTCCAGAGGAAAACACACCTGTACACAACATTATTCACTGAGATTCAGTAGTAATGCCAAAGACTGTGCAAAAACATGTACTCCTTCACTATTCACTACACACTACATAGAAAATTCTAAGTAGAGAACTTTAAGGTGTGTTAGATTGTTGAGCCGTGCTGATACACTAGACAGGGCCATATATCAGCTTTGCCTTCTTGATGGTATATTGGTATTGGTTTGAACCTTCAGCAATTTCCCTGAGGTTTCCACCAAAGGGATCAATAAAGTTCTATTCTATTCTATTCTATTCTATCTTGGTCGATAAACAACAAGAAATTGCAGACAAGAAATGCCAAACTAGGATAGAGGTGAATTACATACAGTGTCACCAATACATACAGCAATTTGCCTAAATGTAATAATAATAAAAAAATTCTATGGATTCTCTATCAGGATTGTTTATGGTATGTGTTTATGTGCTTTTTAGTAGAAATATAATTTTAAACATCCAAAAACATGTGCTATGCCAGTATCAATTGGTTCTATAAGTAGCAAAAAGCCATTTTGTGTTTGGATGCTTTCTTGCTCCTGTCACATTTTTACTCACTGTGGTTTCATTCTGCAATATGAAGTCCTGCACCTGTGTGGAAACAGAACACCCATAGCTAGACGAACTCACAACTGTCTCCTGTGCTATATAAAAAAGTTAAAAATGCTTCTAATTTGAATTTCAACCAAAAAATAAAAAAATAAAAAATCATGTACAACAAAAAAATTTCCAAAAAAATGGGTGTACATAATAGAGATATTTTACTTCCTAATTTTTTATAGGTTTTCATACTTGTCTGTGTAAGCGCAGTCTGTACTTGAGCCCAGTTTAGTTGAATAGTCCTGGAGTTTTGGACTGTTGGTCAAAGCTGTCGTGGTTTTTTCGGTTGTGATAAGGAATTCAGAATGTTTTGTTTTTTTACAGGATTTTGATACTGAAAGTTTTTTTGGTGCAAATTTGTAAATGAGATGTTTAGTGGTTTTGATGAAATATCAAGATTTCAAGTTTCGATGTGGTTAAATTTTCCAGTTCCAAGGACCATTGGAATAAATATAGGACAGTTTCTCCTGTTTTTACCGTGATGGAATGGTTGAATTTTGGAATGTTTCTTTAAAATAACACGCCTCTTGAACTCGCTGGTGGGTTTTGAGGTACATAATGTATGTCTGTATGATTTTTACCTTCACTAATGCCGACCAGACAGATTTGCTATTTGTTGCTTTGCTTTCCCATCTCTCTGAGTGTGTGCCTCAGTCAGACAGTGCGTTTGAAGGAGGTGCAGAGTGATGAGCGCAGCAGTATTACGGGAAATGCCTCTGGATGCACTGACTCTGACTGCTGTGAGCAGTGGAAGGGACTAATTTAGACCATGTTTACCACAGAGAGAAAGAGAGGAGAGGGATGGAGGGGCAGTGTGGGAGAGGAAAATACTGGGGTGAGAGAATAATTATGGATGTAGGAATAATTACTGGTATGACAAAGAAAAGGGAGATGCAGAGGAATGGGGCTCAGGAGATGATAAGAGAGATGAGGGTGAAGGAGAGATGGAGGGCAAAATGATGGTGGGAGAGGACAAAAAAAAAACCAATGTTTTCGCTCAGCCATTCCCCCTCTCCATTCACCCCTTCCCCCCATCTGCCTTCTTCCCCTCAGGAATCTGTCCATTCCTCTCTCCTCTGCTCCTTCTTTTCCCCCCCTCCTCATTTTTTTCCCCCTCCTCCTCCTCCTAAGCATGTGGATGGCATTCTACCACGATGCCAGCCCTCTCTCTTTCTCTCTCTCCCTGTCAGTGTGTGTGCAGTCATGTATCAGGTCAGAGACATGCATCGGTGAAAGCACACGTGTGTGAGTGCATAGAAAAATACGTTTAAGGAGGACAATGAGGGAGCTACTAGAGCTGTTCTGCATTGTGAGTATGGGGACACATGTGCGTCCGTGTGTGGGTCTTTATTCGGTCTCTACTGATATTTAAGCATGAGTGTCAGTTTCTTTGTGAACTTGCGTCCATTGTTGTCGTATTGGAAACGAGTATGGACAGTGCACTTGCGTGAAGGTCTTTTGTTTTGGTCGTGAGCTGTCACTTTCAGTATGAATTGCGTAAAATATGAATTGTTTTTGTGGAAAAGCGTTGGAAAATTATTCTTCTTCCAAGAGCAACGTACATATTGTGTTGTTCCTGTTGTAAACGGTGTCGCTGTCCTTTCTTGTAATTTATTCTGTTATGATTCAGATACTCGGTGGAGCTTCTGAGCCAGTAGGTCATGTCAGTGCATGTGCTTGTGGCTTAATTTTTATGATTATTTTAGAGCATATGCCTATGCAGTTTGCAGAGCATCGCTTGACGTTTTTAATGTGTGTCCATGTATGATTCTAGGATGGTTTTGTGTTGTTACTGCCATCAGTTTTACAGTTTTTAATACAGCATATTACCACGTTTAGCCACTGAACACAGATAAAACCATTACAGGCGTAAAATCCCCCTACCTTTCATCTTCAGGCATACACACACACTACTCTATCCTCCCACTAACACACACATGTAAACACACATATCATTTCACACACTCACATCGGTGATACACACTGTGGGGCTGTTGGGACCGGGCCAGCCAGCCATCCACCGCTGCCATGGAAACAATGTGTGATTGGCAGCTTGCCGGTGAGCATGTTCTACATGGATAGTATACAGGAGAAATGCATTGTGGGAAAGGGAGAGTCACAACTTTGTGTTCCAGCACTGGGCTGGAAGTTGTTCCAGCTGTTGTGGAGTATGTTGCACAGTGGAAACTATAGAATTAAACCACACATACACAATTATATGATATTGACGTGAGATAAGACAGTACAGCAAATGACATAATGCATATTAATGCACCAGTAAACAAAGCCTACATCTAAACTAACAGCAAGCTTACCGACCTGTCCAAAAAACTGATAACCTAATTTATTTAAAATATGCGAAACGCTTTGGTCCATGTATGAATATAATCTAACAGCTGCTTTTAGGACTCAACAGGACTTGTCAGCTGTAAAGGAGAAGTTCACAGTGTGACTTGCCTTCAGCTGCTGACTGGTCCTGTCACCATTTTTGGGGATAATTTATAATTTAAGATAATTCATGATGTTACTGAAGCTGCTACATTTGCGTGAATGCACACAACTTTCTTGCTTAAGAAACGCTAACATGAATCCTGCTGCTGTCTGATGCTGTAGTTGTTTAATATACTGGAAGCAACAAACTGAACTTCAGCTCCTTTTAAAAGCTTGTAGACGTTTTTTATTTAATTATTGGTGAATCTCACTAACGAACATAAACATAGGGCAAAGTGAATGAGAACCGTGTCTTTTGTGCTCTCTGTGATGCTTTTGGACCAGTATTGGTGCTGAAATGTTGAAATGCCTTCCTCAAGTTGAATCATGCAAGTACTGTCATTTGTGTCTTGTAATGCAGCAGCTTGCAGTTCAGACTTATGCCGTGTTGAAATTGATAGGAAAATGTTACTAAGTCTGACCTATTAAGATTACCTTTGTGACTTCTACAGGGTGACACGTTCAGTTGTCGTCAGGTCAAAGAATGCATGTCTGTAAGGGGCCTATATGTTTCTTCTGAAGAGATCACACAGATTTAAACTGAGGACAAAATTAACTACAATCCGTTAGCTACAATCGGCCGTAGAGTAGAAGACAAGACACCAAGTGTGCTTATTAAGAAAAACTGGTTTGCACAAGTGTTTTGCAAATGAGTTTGTGAAAATTAATTTAGAACTAGCCAGAAACTTGTTGGGATTTGTCCCATTTTGTAGTGCACTTGCACTGACCTTTTATTCAGCCTTACTGGATGTAGCTGTCATTCGCACCATCATTCATCAGTCATTCACAACAACAGATGGCACCTGTAAACCAAAGGTTTGAGTTTGACTGGAGCAAGCTGTTGTCGCTTGACAAACTCGCTGCGGGAGACAGATGGAGAAAAGCTGATTGTGTTGTGGGTTTTGCTGGTAGTGATTATACAGTAATCCACTTGTTAATGTTTTATTATAACACTTAATGTTACACAACATTTTAAAGATGCCGAATATGCTTTATGTTTAGATTTTTACATCGCATTTTCTATATTCTTGTATGTATAATAACCTTTCGTTTAAACACATAATCATTGTCATGGGGTTGCATGATATAAATTCAGTTTCATAAACTCACAAGTTTGTCTCTTTCATTTTCTGTTTCAGGACATAAACAAACGTTTGTCTCTCCCAGCGGATATCAGGCTACCGGAGGGCTACCTGGAGAAGTTTGCCATGAACAGCCCGCCCTTTGACAAACCCATGAGCCGCAGGCTTCGACGCGCGTCACTGGTCAGTGGGTCTCTGTTTATATTTGCATTTGTGTATACGTGTGCAAAGCCACTGAAACTGGCCCTGTTGGTTCCTACTTAGCGTCCGCCTGTGTGCCATGCTGGGTGTGTGCTGCTCTTTTTGATGCCGCTTTGTTTGGAAACAAAAGTAATATGGACTTTCAGTGCCATTGTGTGCCACTGAAATGGTTGACTAAGGCCATTGTACCATCTGACACAGAGCAAACGCACAAACATAGACTAGTTTTAAACACAGCCTGAGTTATGCTATAGGGCTTACAATGGCTCAGTAGGGGGATGAATGATAAATTCTGTATTATGTATCCAGGCCAAGAGCATTATGGGTATGAATTGGGGTGGGGGTGGGAGAGAGGAGGGTTTGCTACTGGATGGATTGAGAAGGGGACGACAGGGGGAGAAATAGGCAGATATTCATGAATATGCAACATGTCCCTTTATTTCTCTTTGTATTACTGCTGAAGTACTCCTCCTGCTCTTTCACTTGGTTTTCATTTTGGTTACATTTGATTCCACATTTTCTTTTGTTTCTACCATCACTTGAATTTTCCAGTTTCGCTTCATACATGACTGAATAAACCAAGAGTGTACTGCTGTTTGTTTCGCTCGTTCACTCCACCTTAGATGCGGGCTCTGTTTTAAATTACATTCAGTCTGCCTCTCCCATACATTACTTTAAACCAGATTACTGAAAGCTTCAACATTCTATGGGAAAGCGTAAGGGATGCGCTCTCCATCAACCTTTTTTTTTTTTTTGCTGTAATTATTGAACAGGGCCAGTGCCCTGCCTCTAGCTCTCTGCTTGAAGCAATGTAATGACGCAGCTTTTCTGCTAGAGTCTCACGAAGATGAAAGGAAAGAATCTCTGAAGAGAGGTTTGCAGGGGAAAAGAAAAGTATTTGGTGTAAGGGCAGAGCAGCGGAGGAGGAAAGTCAGAGGAATTATTTGTGTCTTTAAAGTGTAAACAAGCAGAGGATGCTTTCTTGGGTCTGTCCACCTGTGTGTGGCTGTGTATCTTTAGGGGTTGTTGTATGTACTGTATGTGATGTAATAGAACAATCAATAATTCAGCAGCAGTGTCAGACTCATCTGCCGCAGCTCCTCTCCTGACTAGGATTACACCCCAGGACACCTTGAAGTGAGCGAGAGAGCGAGGAGGAGGAGGAAGGAGAGAAAGACAGGGCTATGAGAAGAGAATGTTAAGGGCATAAATGACAGGATGTCAAGATTTTAAAAGGGCTGAAAAATGACAAATATGTGAGCAAATTCAAATGGCTCGAGAATTTTACACTAGTCTGTATTTAAATTCAGGTGTAATGCCAAGAATGCATTACACATTTGTAAATATACACCACGCCATATATTCATGGAAATACCAGAGTATATTTATATGTACATATGAAGAGTTCATTTGCAAAAACCGATAACTCCATCTTCAAAAACCTTCAGAAAACCCACTTCTCCATCATCGTTGCTTTATACACGTGTAATGACAATCAAGTTGAATCTAATCTAACCTCGTCTAAGGAAATGACACTTTGCTTAGTGTGCGTAAGAAGCTTCATCACAGCTGGATTGCTTTTAATAGAGTTGCTAACACTGTTCATTTATTTATTGTGCAGCTTCCATGCAGAAGTATGGTTTTGACTGTGCTGTACACTATTCACACACGTTATTTTTAGGCCTACTTTCAACATGCTCTGATTAGACTGTGACTTTACCGGCATTCCTCACTGATTTTATCTCTGCCCCTGAGGTCAGCTCGTGCACCTTTAGGACGTTTGAAAGAAGCGACATCACAAAAGGCCGAGCGCGCTCCTTCAGTCGCACATATTTGAGTTTAAAATGTATCTGAGTGCTCTGACGTAAAGGTCTCCCCGGGCTAGCGGTGTTCTCGTCGTTTGTCTCCGTAACATAGAACATGTGTACGGTGTCCCATGACTGATGCTTGTATTTGAAACCGTGTGTTTTGATCATTGAATCGTTTCCAATGTAATGCAAGTGAAGCTGGCCGGTATCAGTTTTCGTTCATGGCTGTTGCCCATTGATAATCAATTATTCACAGTAGTCAAATGAGATTCAGTGTTCCATGGTGCTGAGAAACGAGATGTCATTTTATCTCAAAGCACTACACTTAATCATGTTATGCAATGCTCACTTTTTTTTTTCTTACCCTTTCGACACCACAGCAACAGGATAATAAACTTTAGATGTAAACCTATGTGTTCCCAGTGCACATGCACACTGCATGTAGGATCTTTTTGTTAAAATCAAACCAAAAAGTTGCAACTGAGGTAAGCGTTCGTCCCATCCTTTGGCTCGAAGCACGTCTGTTTTTATTACCAGGTTTACACGAAAAAGGTGACAGTGCAAGATGTTTATTGGTTGATTGATTCTACTTCTGAGAACTGGCAACATCATGTTAATGAAAGGCCTCTGCTTTCCTCCCACCTCTCATTGCTTGCCACCTCTTCTTTTCGCAGAAGGCTGTCATTTTCCTTCTCCCACACAATGCTCGTAATCCATCCTCTCTCAACATCAAACCATCGTATAGGCAACACACGACGAAGCCATAATAACAATTGAGACGCGGCCTAAGTAATAGACTTGAAGCAGTCCATCTGCCTATCTGTACGTCTGCTCGCTTTCCGTGCAGGTTCAGACAGAACGCGCACTCACACACACATATTGTTTGGTTTTATGTTGCTTTATTTTGTCACTAAAACTTGGTCTGACCTAGTTCTGCTGAGTAAGCTCACTGGAGCGTTGGGAATGAAATGAACCCATTGCCATCGAAAGCATACGCAGGCGCACACACACACAGGCGCTCGCAAATGGAAAAGGACTGTGAGGTACTCAGAGTACCGCCGCACAAGTTATGCTGGATGTAAAGAGCTGGGACTTTTTGAGTTTTAGGGACAATTCAGCGGGGCAAGATTAATTTTCTGGAATAGGGTTGGTGTTAACGCGTGTGTGTTGTACATTTTGGTGTGTGTGTGTTTTGCTCATGAGACCAACTCTGCCAAAAGAGCAGCACAGCTCAGCAACAGCTCCTGACAGCCTCCTGTCACAAACACAGAGATGGATGCAGCATGTTTATATGCGTGTCTGTACACAGTGTGATTGTGCTTACATTTTATCATAGAGCTTAGATATGTGCATTATACTGTACATGCTTTATATATTACCAGTTACAAAACCAGATAACGATATGTAAAATACATAAATAAGGTCATGTCTGTTAATTAATTATGCAAATGAAAAACGTGTGTGTGTGTATCCATGTACACACTAAAGCGTTCTCAGTGCGTTTCATCTTGTGTCGCCGCTTGTTCCGATGTCGGTTTTCAGGCATGCCTTTAAAGAGATCACATGCTTCATCAGCTAAGTTGGTCACCAGAGACCCTCCCCCTCGTACACACACACACATGCAGTTCATGCGTCGGACTGGCGATCACATGAGCGTCATGATGGGACGGGCCGGCGCAAGATTGAGAGGGATGGGAGGGGTGGAGGTGGTGGTCAGAGAGATGAACACAAATAAAACAGGGCTGAAACGACTCTGACGGAGATAGACTAGCAAGTGAGGAAAAGTGGCAGATAGGGGGATAAACCCTGACAGGCCTGTGGGTATCACAGCTTGATATAGCTACATCCATCTATAATTCATGGCCTTGAAACCCAGGGGCCACATACATTATACAACTAAACCTTTATTAACTGAATTCAGGATCATGTCAGGGTTCACTCTGCTCATACAGATGTGAGGTGTACCTGCTTGATATCTGTGGAAATGTTTAGAAATAGATATGTAATGTCTGTGCTGCCGTATTAGGTTGCCGTTGTTACACTGACTTCCTGTGGTCAAAGAATATAAGTGCAGCTGACAATGACATCACTTTGTAGCACTAAAGAGACAAAGAAACGATGCACTTGGGACACAGGAGGGATTTGTTTTTTCAGATTAGGCAAGGTGTTAAATGACATACAATGACCTTGACAACTTTAGCCTTTAATGTCAGTGTTGTCAAGGAGTTTACATGTGTCAGTGTCTTTTTCTTTACAAAGTGTATTGCACCTGCATTTAGAAAAAATGTGATGATGTTTGCACACCTGTCACAAAGAAAAAAAATCAGATTTAAAAATATTAAACAATTGTACAAATGATGGGCTGCAAGGTGGCGCGGTGGTTAGCACTGTTGCCTCGCAGCTAGAAGGTTGCCGGTGTGCGTCCCAGTGAGAACATCTTTCTGTGTGGAGTCTCCATGTTCTCTCTGGGTTGTCTGAGTTCATCCCACAGCTCCCCCCGCGACCCTCGTAAGGATTAAGCAGTGTATAGATAATGGATGGATGGATGTACAAATGATGTAGTGCTCCTGATGCAGAACTGCAGATATTTTACACAAATGTTCTTATAAAGACGGTTCAGTTATAGTCAACGTAAGTACTACATGTGTATAAATGAGTGTAGCAGAGATGTCACATACACACACTCACAGAGGGTAAAGTACGGCCTGGTGACTCAGACCCCTGCAGTTGTAGGCCAGTTGTCAAAAGTAGCAGGACTAAAACTTGAACAGCCTTGGCCTGAAGGATTTGATTTAAGAAATAGTTAGCTTCAACACGATGCTGTGGCCTAGTCTTGCCCACAATCAGCCAGTACCATCCATCCATTATCTATACACCGCTTAATCCTCATCAGGGTCGCGGGGGGCTGGAGCCTATCCCAGCCGACTTAGGGCGAAGGCAGGGGACATCCTGGACAGGTCACCAGTCTGTCACAGGACCACACTTAGAGACCGACAACCAAGCAAACTCACATTCACACCTACGGACAATTTAGAATCACCAATTAACCTCAACATGTTTTTGGACTGTGTGGGAGGAAGTCGGAGAACCCGGAGAGAACCCACGCTGCACGGGGAGAACATGCAAACTCCACGCAGAAAGATTCCGGTGCCCCCATCAGGACGCGAACCGGCAACCTTCTTGCTGCGAGGCAACAGTGCTACCAACTGCGCCACCATGCAGCCCTCAGCCAGTTCCAAAAATATAAATACAAACTGCCTCGGTGATAATGCACAGTGATACCACTGCTAACCTCTTCAACCGTCTTCTTTCTGTCCTCTATAGTCTGAAATCGGCTTTGGGAAACTTGAGACCTACATCAAACTGGACAAACTCGGGGAGGTGAGATCAATAAAGAAAGTCAGCAAAAGTGGCACTAAAAAAACCCATGCAGTCCTAAATCTACTCACTTTATTTTTACAAATGCATTCACACGTTTTCCATCTCTGCAGGGGACCTATGCTACAGTGTTTAAGGGGCGAAGCAAGTTGACGGACAATTTAGTAGCTCTGAAAGAGATCCGACTGGAGCACGAGGAGGGCGCGCCCTGCACAGCTATCCGGGAAGGTACGAAGCCGCTGTCAGCAAGTTCAAATCCTGCATTTTGGAAGTGTATCACTCAGAAGTCAGCGTGACACATACGGATTGTGAAGAAGCTTGTGGAGTTTTGACAGCGTGCCTTGTGGCTCCCTGGGCTGTTGGAGAACTGAGAACTGTGTTAGTTCTCACCGCTTGTCTGTGTTTGACTGACAATGTCTGATGTGCTTCCTCCTCCAGTGTCTCTCCTGAAAGACTTGAAGCATGCCAATATTGTCACTCTCCATGACATTATCCACACTGACAAGTGCCTGACACTCGTGTTTGAGTACCTGGTGAGTGTCATTTAAATGTTTATAGTGTGTGTATGTGTCTTTAAATGAGCTTATATACTATAATCAACATATCTGCCTTCTTTCTTTCTTTCTTTCTTTCTTTCTTTCTTTCTTTCTTTCTTTCTTTCCCTCATCAGGAAAAAGATCTGAAGCAATACATGGATGACTGTGGGAGCATCATGAGTGTTCACAATGTCAAGGTAATTTAGAGTCGTTACTGGAGAGTTTCTGTGTTACAGCAATGCCACAGAATGCAGTGCCAATAAATTGCATTCTTCTTCTCTCCTCTTCAGATCTTCTTGTTTCAGCTTTTAAGAGGTCTTGCGTACTGCCACAGAAGAAAGGTCCTCCACAGAGACCTTAAACCCCAGAATTTGCTCATCAATGAGAAAGGAGAGCTCAAACTGGCAGACTTTGGTATGTCACCATTTCACCAACTACAAACACAGCATCAGTCCTGTATGTGAAGCTGAAACCTCCTTTGTTGCTCATGAAAAGTGGAGTCACACATAAAAATGCTGATTTTGATGATATAAAATTTTATGTTTTACCTGTTTTTTCTTCAGCTGTATATTATTGTTGTCACAAGATCAAATTTACTTGTTCCACAACACATAATATAACCTTATTTTTGATACTTAGCAACTGTTTCAGAAGTTGTGTTTCTATGTGTTAAGGATTCTTGGAATTTGTAATTGAGGCAACTGAACTGCACATCTTTGAATCGTTCTTTCTTAACATGCTAAGCTGAGGTGTGTTTGTCATTATTTGTGAAAACAATGTACCATGAAATGAAACTAAGAGTCACCACAAGCCCCACTAGTGACTCCTAAAGGCCATACTGCTCATTAGACAATGTAGTCTGAAGTGACTAAGCACCCAACACTGCCCTCCTTCGGTAAAACTTGAAACATGGCAAGCTGTCATACCCCAGTGTTCGAGAATTCCTTCTTGTGAATTGCTTATTAATTCTATGTTGTGAGATACAAAATAGGAATCTGAAAAAAGAATGACGTATTCTACTGCACAGTTTTGAAACCACATCCATGACGCTGATAATGTAAAGGTGAAAAAGTGTGACTGAGCTCTGGTGGGACATTCTTTCATGTTCACCTGTGGACCCACAACACTGAAAAAAAGCTGCAATGTTCTCATAATTCAATGTCACTTTTTGTGTTTGAATTCAGGTTTGGCACGAGCCAAGTCTGTCCCTACGAAGACCTACTCAAATGAAGTCGTGACATTATGGTACCGGCCACCAGATGTGCTGCTGGGCTCCACTGAGTACTCTACGCCCATCGACATGTGGTGAGCAAACACACATGCACGGCAAATTCACACTGTTACAGAGAAAACCATTAATACTACCCCTGCTTAACGTTTCCTTTCTGCCCTTTTCTTACCTTTTGTTTTTAATCCCCCAGCCTTCTTTCCTAATCCCCACGTTTTTTCTGCAGTTGTCGCTGTTGAGGCTTTGGAACAAACTCTGCTGTACTTGATATTTGAGCTGCAAAGCTTGAGCAAGCTTGGGGAGATTGGGAGATGTGGGGTTGCTTTGGGGTCCTATGTAACCCTCCTGTTTATTTCTGAACTTCGATTTGGAATTAGTCTTTTGTTTTGCTTTCAATGTCCTATATAATGTATGATACAAATGTTCATTGGGCTGATTATATAGAAACCATAGTTGGGAAATTTGTCTATTCTGTCATTGAAAAAACTGTTTTGATCATGCATTGGAAGACTTTGCGTCTAATGTGTGATTTAGTCAAAGTAGAACTTAATCAGAATGTATACATCTTTTCCATAGTTGTGTAGATAATTGCTCTGTATTGATTTAAGCTAGATTTTCTTTCATCTTTGCAGTTACTTTTAAATAGTAGTGGTTTCCTTCATTAAACACACCTCAGTGCAGCTCTATTGTGCAGTTTTTTTGTTACTTGATGGTCTAATGTTGCATCACAAGTGACAAAATAACAAAAGCAAAGTGTTTTGTTAAGACATTAGTCACAACTACTGTTTTGAGTGTTACATGTGATGTGTTTTGCACTCATTTCAACTGTTTCTGTCCTTTGTACAGGGGTGTTGGCTGCATCTTTTACGAAATGATCACAGGCAGACCTCTCTTCCCTGGATCAACTGTGGAGGATGAGCTTCACCTCATATTCCGCATCCTTGGTGAGACACCAGTGGAATCCAGATCGAGCATTTTGCTTGTGTAGCATTCATGCTTTTGTGCGTGTGTGTGTGTGTGTGCACTCTGCGTCTGTTAACCGATCCTCTGTATCTTCAACAGGTACTCCTACAGAAGAGACTTGGCCCGGCATCACAACCAGTGAAGAGTTTAAGACGTACAATTTCCCCCACTACCACGCAGAGCCCCTCGTCAACCATGCACCCAGGTACGTGGACCTGAATGCGTCTTCACCCAGCCATGGATGCATGTGTGTGTAGACGAAGTGATACGCTAGATGTAATAAGATGAGGTGCAGGATTGATTTTCCAGAGGAAATGTAGTCAATCATTTCCCTCTCTTTTAAAATGGCAGGAACACTACACTGTTCTATACAGCTTAGATCAGCATTTGACTTCACTGACACTCAGGTCTTCATCTCTCTCACTCCATCTCTCTCTCTCTTTTTTTTTTTCTTGCCTTCGGTCACCCAGGATAGACAACGATGGTCACGACTTGCTCTCAATGCTCTTACAGGTAAAGAACACTGCTGTTTTCAGATAATGATGAGCACATTTATGCATATGCATTTGATAATCATTCCCGTCTCCGCTTGTCTCTAGTTTGAGGCGAAGAAGCGCGTATCAGCCGAGGACGCCCTCAGACACTCGTATTTCAGAAGTCTTGGGGAGCAGCTGCAAACGCTGGCTGATAGTGAGTACATACATTTTGACTTGAATGTGCACATTTAATGCACAACCACAGTCTCACCTGCTGTCTTTTGTTGTTGTTGTTTTTTTTTAGCTGCATCCATCTTCTCTGTAAAAGGCATTCAGCTCCAGAAAGATCCAGGGAAGAGATCCTCTGTCTACCCAGAGTCAAGTAAGTCCTCTGAGATTTAAAAAAAATAGACAGGAGAAAATAGAGAAACTTAGGAATCCATGGTACAGATATAACAGAGGATAGGACTCGCTCCCTGTCTTCTTCCTCCTCTTCTCTCTCTTTTTCTCTCCAACTGTTTGCTTTGTGTCGTCTCTCATGCCGCTGTGTGGTCATGTCACACACAGTTTCCCAGTCTGTCACCAGATTCACGCTTTCACCAGATTCAGATTCCCAATACATACTGCCATGCATTTTGTAGCAATAATAATCCTAAGCGTGTGGTCGTTAATTACAAAACAGTTGCTTCTGTGCTCTGCAAACGGTGGGACATTTTTTCATTGGTGAGTCCATGATATTGGTCCCAACTAAAACAGCTCAGACATTATTAGATATACCTCTTTTTATTTTTACAGACAGTCATAGTAGTACATAAAATAAATACCCAGATTTTTCTTCTAGCACCACTCTGAGTTTAACTTTCTTAGCTTTTGGCGAACTGTCAGATAAATTCCAAGCCAGTGAAAGTTATAACAACAACAACAACAACAACAATAATAATAATACATTTTATTTGTGTAGTGCTTTTCAGAAACTCAAAGATGCTTTACAGGATAAAAGAAGAATAAAAGCAACTAATACAAAAGTAGACTAAGCAAAAATACAGGCAAGCAGGTAAAAACAACACATAAGATAAAATAAAATACAAAAAAAAGTTCAGCCAGTGGAAAGATAGCTAAAGATAATACCCGTACCATTTGTAACTTCTGCCAGAGTGTCAGTTTTGACATGCAAAGCAATTAAAAGTGCAAACCGCTCGTAAAAAAAAATCACACACTTTTAAATGCATGTTCTGCATTATGGATGGGAGCAGTATTCTCAAATGAGGAGATACTGGTATCTGGCTTTGAACCAGCAACCTTTGACTTATGTCTGAGCATATTATCGGCCAGGGTGCCAACGTGTTATTTCAACCAGCCTTACCTAATATAGCAGGGTAGAACCAAGCCTGAACAAACCACCATAAAATTTGTACACAGACTTTCGTGTCATGTCCGAATGAATTACCTTAGGTCATCTCTGAACTTCTCATCAATCTTCATGTCAAAATTGCTTTTCTTGGTGACTGAATAGCTACAAGACTGAAGCCATGTCCAACAGCCTCAGTCATACTTCAGTGCAAAATAGCAAATCTCAGAATGCATAAATGCTAAAGAAAAATGACAAACTAATATTGTTACGTTACGAGCCTGTTGCCTCGCTTTAATTCAGTTTCAAGTCCAGACTTCCAGAGCTGCGAGCATGGTTGTAGATCCTGATCTTTTGAGTGTGCTTGGCTTAGAATGATTGGTCAAGATTTACCACACAGTGGGTAAACAAATCTATCCTGCCTTTGTCGCACCGATAACAATGGTAACCATTAAAGACAATGATATAATTGTAGCTAAGTAATAGTCAGCTATATTCATTTAACTGTTCAAACAAACTTCGTTAGCAAAGTTAGCAAGCAGTTAGGTAACTAAGGTTGGTGAAGTGCAGGTTGGGAGTTTTTCGCTTTTTCTGAGCCTCTAAACTGTGCATACCTGATGTGCCTTCAGCATTTGCGTCAATTTACTTCAGTGTTTCTGTCTTGATCACAGTCTGTGTGTGTGTCTCTTCTCTCCTGCTTCCGTTGCCACTCGGCCATGTTCTGATGAACTGTCCCTTCTCTTTGGTGCCCATGCTCTCTTCTTCTGCACTGTTCATCTTTTCCTTAATCCTTTCTCTAATCTCCCTTGTGTACCCTACTCCAACTCCTCCGCAACACCTCAATATTCCCAACCTTCCCCCCTCTCCTTATACCCAAAAAAAAAGCGATGGCCCATAGGCTAGGCTCTGCACCCTCGCAGTACTTCCAGAGAGACGCAGCCAATCCCAGGGCTCAGAGTCACAATCTCTCCTCCACTTCCACTGGCTGAGTGGCCTCTACCGTTCTGGTAAATACTGTCTCTTTCACTCTGTCTGTCTTCTGTTCGGGTAACCTTCTCTTTTTTTTCTTATGTTTGGCTGTCGCCTGACCTTTTTTTCCTTCTCTATCAGCACCTCGTCTTTGTTGCAAGCATATTTTATGTATGACTCTCACTACATGCTGAACTGCGCTTAAATGCCAGTGCGTCACTCCTCACATTCCCAGAACCTCCTTTTTGTCTTTTTTTTTTTTTTTTGTCATCGACTCCTCTCCCCCATTCTTTCTTCTGCTGGCCTCCCTCATATTTCAAGCCCTGTGCCCACGAGCGTCATCTCAGCTTTCACTTACCTAATCCTGTTTTTCTCAGAGCAAGCCACTCCCAGTGTTCATTTCAGGGATCAAAGAAGGCAACGCTATATTCATAAAAGCAAAGAATGTGATGAGAGAACCGGGAGTCATTTGATTGTTTTCATTTGCAGTCCTGTTTAGGTTTCTGCAGCGAGAGATGTAGCCTTTTGTTGAGTCTGTAAGTGAGGGTTGTGTGCTGTGTGGACTTGCTTTGATTGTGTGTTATAAATGCTTTTTTTTTTTTTGCATTAGCATGGATGTGATATGTTTGTTTAGCGGCTGTATTTTACAGTTTTCGGTAAGTATGATTAAGTTCAGCAACATGGGATGACACGCACAGTATTGCAAATTACTGTGAGCGGCAATTATTATATCAATAATAATAATAATACCTGTACACTATATGGCCAAAAGTATCCCTCCATACATTGTTGTTTATTGCTTTGTCTGCAATACCTTTCTTGGGGAGGCCTCATTCTGTTACAACATGACAATGCTCTGGTGTTACGAAGCAGCCGTGTTCGATTTTTTTGTTATTTATTTAGTTAAATGTTCTATATTGTGTGTTTCACCACGGGGAATACAAATCCGATTTATAGTCGCTGTTTCTCTGTGTGAACAAATAATAATAATAATAAACTTTATTTATATAGCACTTTTCAAAACAGGGTTACAAAGTGCTGTACAGATTCAAAGAGAAGTGTACGGAAAACAACATCAAACAACATTAAAGGAAGTGAAAAGCAAAAAAAACCCATAAATAAATAAATAAATAAGAAATGGTAAAGGTGAAGCACATAAAGCATGAAAGACAATAGAACTATATAAAAATATATAAGAAAAATAAAACCCAGTAAAAGAAGACAATTAAAAGACAATAAAGGAAGGAATAAAACAGAAGATAAAATGTACTGCCCTGAATACTGCCATCAAATGGAGTAAAAGTCCACTCATAGAACAACTCCTGTAAAAGCACATCTGTAAAAATGTGTTTTTTAAAGAGTTTTAAAGGAGGATAAGGTGCTTGCAGATCTGATCTCCTCAGGGAGACTGTTCCACAGGGTGGGGGCTCTTACAGAAAAGGTCCGGTCACCTTTGGTCCTCAGCCTTAATGTGGGACGGTGAGCAGAGCCTTGGCTGAGGACCGCAGGCTACGACCGGGCACATGTGGTCTGAGGAGATCAGAAATGTATTGAGGTGCAAGTCCAGAGCGTGCTTTATGGGTTAACAATAAAATCTTAAAATCTATTCTAAAATGAATTGGTAGCCAATGAAGGGAAGCTAAAACAGGAGTAATGTGATCTCTCTTTTTGGATTTGGTGAGGAGTCGGGCTGCTGCGTTTTGGACCAGCTGTAGTTTGTGAAGACTCTGCTGGTTAAGACCAGTGTACAGAGAGTTACAGTAGTCTAAGTGAGATGAGATAAAAGCATGAATAACAATTTCTAAATTATGTCTGGATAAAACTGACCTCACCTTAGAGAGTCTCCTAAGCTGCATGAAACAAGACTGCACAACTGAGCTGACATGCTGGTTCAGGTTCAGGTTTTCATCCAAGATGACTCCAAGATTTTTTACATTTTGCAGCTATATTACAGGATAACGAACCTAAGTGTGTTGCTGCTGTGGCTGAACCAGGACCAATAATCATTACTTCGGTTTTGTCTAAGTTTAGCTGGAAATAAGATCAGTAACAAAAAAAATGTTTATCCAATTTGGTGCGAGCCAGTCCCTATTCTACCCAACTTCAGTATCCACCGTCACAAGACTGAATGCGAGCAAATCATTGCAGACATGTTCCAAATTCTGGTGAACAGCCTTTTTAGGAGAGTGGAAGCAGATTAATACCTGTGGTTTAGGAATCACTCAATACAGGCACAGTTGTTAGCCTGTTAGCTACACCTTGCTAACAAACATGCAGTCCAATAGAGTGGTCCAAGCATTCAGTTACACCTTAATCAGTTCTGAACGGTTTTATAAAGGAGTTGGTTTAATGGTCAACCTGATGCTTGTCTTTTAAGTTGCTGATCCTATTTGAGCCAATGCTATATAACATTAAATACTAGCAAGTCTATATTTGATTACTATATAAATAGAAACAAAACAGTTCTAGCAAAAATATTCTAACATTCAGGAGCATTTTTTTTCAAGTCAGTTGTATTGTTTTAAACTAGATACGCCAAAAAGACTGGTATGAGTCTAAAGTTTGTGTCAAGAGCTGCAACAATGACTTCTTGAATCCATAAACACAAAATGAAACTATTTTAATACTATATGTACATTTATTGTCTCAAAAATGTCTCAAAAATTCTCAAAATATGAATTTGCTGGATTTCTTTTTCTTACAATATATTAAATATTTGGGGGTCTGCGATCATGTGACTCAAACAAAGGCCTTTAATCACATTTAGGCCTTTTTAAAAAAAAACAAAAAACTGTGTGATTGTTTGATTCGGGTATTGAATAATCAGCCAACAGTGAAAGTTGTCATTGTTGCAGCCTGATGTGTGGCCGGTATTTTTTGGCTCTACGGTGTACATTTTGTGCTGCTGGCATGGTGTGAAATTTGCAGGAATGTGGTGATGTTTGTGTGTCCAAAACAAATCCAAACCTTTTTTTTTTGTTGTTGTTGTTTCCCTCACATGTCTTTCTCTCTCCTTCCTCTGTCTGTCTGTCTCTCTCTGTGTCTCTCTCAGCCCAGGGGAAGAGCAGGAGGCAGAGTGTGTTGTTTTAGTGCTGGCGGGGGCGATGAGATGAGGAGGACAGTGACACAAGGAGCTGTCGTGTCAGACATACATTCACTGACCCTGCCACGCACACACTTGAAGGAGTGACACACGCTGCCACACAGACACACACCTATACTGAAGAGAAACACACACACATAGCAAAGTGACACCACACACACAACTAAGGCTGAAGAATTCATATTTAAAAATAACGACTCAGCTCAACCCTAAAGATGAAAAATACAACAAAAAAAAAGAGAAAATAAACGTGCGTGATGCTGGAAGAAAAGTGGGAGAGTCTGAGATTCTCCTTGCTGCTACTACCGCTGCTGCCCAGAGGAGGGCAGCGTTTAGGATGTGAGCTGACACGGATTTGAAACAGAACTTGCTGTAATCAGCGGGCTGGAAGGAGGAAGGAGTCAAAAGTGGACACGAATCAAAGAGAGGTGGAACCCTGTTGCCCTCTTGTGTTTTTTTTTTTTCTTTTCTTTTTGTCGTTGTACATAAAGAGACTGATGAGCTGTAGAACTCTGCTTTTATCATGACACACCTAAGCCTGAATCCAAACTCTAAATATTGCACCTCAACTCTAAACCCTTGCCTATCCTGTCGACCCTTTATTACATGATCTCTAACAAAAAACAACAGACACAAAATCTCTCTCTCTCTCTCTCTCTCACTCTCTATCTTTCTGTATCTCACTTGAACACACACACAGACACACTGATGGTTCACTTGAAAGTAACAAGTGTGTATAACATTGGAGTTTACAAAGATAAACTTTTGCACCTTATTGTCCAGTAGAGGTCAGGGTGGCTGTCATTACCTCATCTGTCACTCAAGCAGGGTAGGATGTCAAGTACACGCTAGAGATATTGGAATGAAGAAGAATCAAAATGACAGACCAAAAAAAAACAAAACAAAAAAAAGCAGCGTCTCACTAACCATAGGAAATGGACAGATGTGTTGCACACTTCACCGCTCTAGAGTCGAAAAAACGCTCTGCGATCCACGCACCAGTAGTAGACATGAACTACATTTATCACATTCTCATATGCTGTAAAGAACACTACACTGCAAGCGGCTCCTGTTTCAGCAGACAGAAAGGACAACGTTGAAGGACAGAGAGGTAAAGGAAGTGTACAAATCCTCACCTGCTTATTCTTAGACACCCCCCTTCCTCTTTTGCCTTGACTCAGAAGTTGTCTCGATTCGTTGTCTGATGTACAGGTGTTGATGTTGAACTGTTCTCTTTGCACCTGATTTTACCTCTTTAGACAATTAGTAGATCATTCAGCGACCCCGCCCTCTCCTCTCCTCCCCTCCCCAAGTCCGTGTGCATTTATTTTTTACAGTTTTTTCTTCTTCTTCTTCTTCTTTTTTTAAAATCTGTATATATGATCATATATTTTACCTGTCAGAAGCAATGATAATTCCAGGATGCTGTTCTCAGTCTTTACAGTAGGTGACTGGCTGGGAACGTGTTGCACATTCCTTGAGCTCAGGACTTATTGCTAGCGTTGTTGTGCGGATGCGGCGAGGTACAGATGTGTGTCTCCCCAGTAGAGCAGAGTATGTTGAACGTGGCCTGAAAACCTTTTTGCTGGTTTAAACTGTACGCGAAGGAGAGGAAAGATTTCTCTGCATCAACCTGTCAAGTCTGCTGTGTCGTCCATCCTCTGTTGATTTGACCATGACGTCGCTCTTCGGATACTACCTTACCCATGTCATCTCTTTCAGCATGTTTCCGTATTAAACACAAGATGTTTTTTAATTGGTATGTGAAATAGCTGCTGCTGCTGGGAAAAGGAATACCTCCTTTAACGTTTGCATGGGACATGACCTTATCACATGATTTTTTTTTAATACACCAAAACACATCAACATCTAGAGACTGTACCTTAAAGAACATGAAGACAATGACAACACACTGGTCGACAACAGTGTGGTTGTGCTCGCAGCACTGGGACCAGATAGTTTGTACGACAAATCGGACTCATCTTCTAGGTGTATACTGCAGTAGAAACTGTTCCGTAGCCCGTCTAACTGGGCTATGACGTATCTCGAAGCACTCAGACACACTGTTGTTTCATGCTGTTAATGTTACAGGCTGCCAGAAACAACAAGACCAAAGTCAGTCCTCCAAGCACCAGGTGTTCAAGCACACAACTGTTTCACACACTGATCAGCTGACATGTCAACATGTACTGTATCTATGAGACGGCCTGTGAGCGTAGTTTGGAGTTTCCTGTACCTCAGGCGCTGACCTCGGGGTCATTTCTGCATCTTTTTCCCCCAAAATGGATTCAGAAAAAGGGAGAAGTGATCCCACGTCTGTGCCTGTCAGAAGGACTACTTATTTTCCCAGAGTGTGACAGTATGTAGCATGTACATAGATGATCCCTCACTCTGTATATACAAAAGTGTACAGGTTTGATACAGCTATTCACATTCTGGCTTTTTTTTTTTTTTTTGCTTTTTTCTTTTTCTTTAATGAAAGTCATAGCAATATTTCTGTAATCAATAAAAAGCCATGGTAATAGGATGAGTATGATTGCATTTGTGTTTATTTAGGAAGGTGACTGTGAACGATCAAACTGTGAGACTTGACAAAACTAATGACAGTTGTTTTTTTTGTTTTTGTTTTTTTTTAACTTTCTTTTTTGGTTGTTTTTTTTTGTTTGTTTGTTTGTTTGCTGTTTAACATGCTGGATCCAAAAGGCTGGAATGAAGTATCATGTTGCAAAGGAGTATAAAACACTGATTTTTATTTTTATTTTTTTTGCTTTTTATCAATGAAAGCCATAAAGGTGACAAAGGTCTGCTGGTGTGTGAGGGGTGTATACCATGTTTGAGGACAGACCTTAAGAAGCAAAAAGGATTTGTACACCTAATAAAAAAAATATTAAAAACATAAATAAATCATGTAATTACTTTTTTTTTTCTTGTCTTAAATCTTTCGAAAGCTTCAGGAGTTTGTTGCAAAACATTATTTAAAATAATGATTTAGCTTCTGCCTCAGTCAGTTAATTCATATAGCACATTTAAACACATCAAAACGTTGACCAAAGTGCTGTTAAGCTAAAAACTAATTTAAAATCGTTATAACAAAAGATAAGCTAGTTTTATAGTTAATCCTAACTAGTAGCCTCACAGTCAGACAGTGGCATTAGGTGTAACGGTAAAATCTAATGCAAAAGCAAAACAAACAAAAAAAACATATTTGCATCTATAAACTTTCATTCAGGCTCCGTCAGCTAATGTAGTGTGTTTTCCCTTAAAGCTTACATTATACTATATGTAAGCCTCTTAACCCCAGTAATCCAGCCACTGACTAAAAGACCCAAGTAAAGGGAGATTATTTTGCTCACACTAGAGACGCTTTACATGATATCCACAAACAGACTGTGACTTGTGTTGTTACATGAACTTCACATAACAGAGGCTGTGTAAATCTAAATTAACAATTTGCACAGTTTTAAATCTTCTGTTATTAGGAGATCAAAAACAACAACACAATATCAGTGACCCAGAACAAGGGGTGTCGTTTATGTCAGAATACATGGAAAGTTGTGACAGCAAGAAAAGACACAGTTTAACAACATGAGGAGACCGCACAGGATTTCGACGGCCGCCTTCTTTCAATGTTTCAGTCTTATAGATGTTTTGTTTGATTGTGTAAATACTGCAGAGACTGGCTAATATTCTAAAGTTGAACTCGTAATCTCAGACTACCGCAGGAATGAGATCAAGGTCATATACAGTCAAATGTATTCATACCCTCCCATTAAAGAAGGAACAAACAGCTGTCACTGAAATAAGCTGAAATTGACAAAAGTAATAATAAATAAAAAAATTAAATGAAAATCATGACATTGCTTTTGAATTGTGGTAGCAAACAAGCATGATGGGACCCGTAAACTAATATTTTGTTGAACAACTCTTTGAGCCAATCACTGCAGTCAAGTGTTTTCTGTAACTCTCAGTCAGACTTCTGCACCTGTTGACAAGTATTTGGATTCTGGCCCACTGCTCATCAGCAAAGTGCTCTAATTTGTCCAGAAAAGGTTTTTTTTTTTTTAAATGATTCTTTTCAACCACAATTCAAAGCAGTGTCTTATTTCACTAAATTATAATTTAGCATTTTTTTAAATTTATTATTACTTTTTCAGTTTCTAGTTATGTGAGTGACTGTTGTGAATTTAGCCTTTTCTTTAACGGAAGGGTCTGAATACATTTGAGGATGACTGTATTTAAAACAGATTTTTAAAATGCATACATATTTAATCTTTTAAAGATTCTTGACGTGAGCCTTTTTGGCTCTTGCTGACAGAGGCAACAGAGGTCTCAGCCTCAGACATCTGAGGGTCTGTGGCCCACGGATTCCATCCACACAGAACAGCAGGAATAGCGTAGCCTCGAAACTGCAAACAAGCACGAGCACATGAGTATGATTAGTTATTATGACGATAGGTGCCTGAATTATGTTTCTTTTTCTGTGTGTGTGTGAATATGAACAAACTTGATGAAGGATTACCTGTCTGTTCATGAAAATATATATGATGGGGTTGTAGACAGTGCTGCTTTTGGCGAAGTAAACAGGTATAGTGGCGATGACAGGGTCAATGTGTACACTGGAGTCTACGACGACAGCAAGGGCCATTGCGGCATACGGCAGCCAGGTGACTAGGAAGGCCAACACCATCACCACCACCATGCGTGCCACCTGCACCTCCACACGATATGTGCTTCCAGCCTCAGACACCTGCAGCTTGGTCACCTACAAAATAAAAGCAAAAAGACTTCATTAATGTGTCATTAGAGTCAATACATTTATATGTTCTTCGTTGCTCACCTGACGGAGGGTCCATAACAGTCGTGAGTAGGACACCATGATGATGGAGAAGGGCACGGCGAAACAAAGGGCGAAGTATATGAGAATGTACGACATGTTTCCGACATCTCGGCTGTACCAGTTAGGAGCACAGGAAGTTCTGACGCCCTCCAACTCAAAACTTCCCCAACCAAACAGAGGCGGAGTGTTCCACACAAATGACCACACCCAAGCCAGTAGTACTCCGGCAACTGCATGCCTGAGGACAACAGAGAAGGTGTCTCACATGCTGCTATGAGTTTTTTTTTTCCCCCCTTTACGATGCTGCTTAGTGAGACCTTTCTATACCTGGTCTGGAACAGGACAGCACCCATCGGATAACACACCACTACATAGCGTTCAACAGAAATGACTCCAACTGTACACAGGCTTGTTATACCTATAAGAGAAGAAAGAATAAGTCAGGACTGCACTATTTTTCCCCTTCAGTTTAGCTTTGTACAAATTAATGATAGAGGTGGAAAGCAACAAATGCATTTATTCAAAAACGGTGTTCGAGCACAAAGATGACATAATTGTATTTTACCCAAGTGTTTGCATTTATTCCACTTTAACACTATATATCAGAGGGAAAATCCTTCACAACGTGATAGTTACTCTTGATTATTCATATGTATACGCATTTTTACATAAAACACACATACAAAAATACAGTGGGTTTTTTTTTCAAGTAGCGACTTGCAGCCTTTTATGACTTGTGATGCCATGAAAAAAAATAGTCACTGAGACATTTCCTTGCACCACAGACTGTTTAATTCAAGGCCAAAAAGGTCAAATTATCCAATACTTCAAAAAGAAATTAAAGTCCTTCAAACTGTCACAAATTGTGTAGCAGAACCTTTTTCATCTTCATTTCTCTTCGCTACTTGCAGGACTACCTTGTACCTTTTGTAGAGCCCATGCTAAGTTCCACCAGCATGGATGGTCTTAATGTTTTGGCTGATTCGTGTGCATAAAGAAGCTAAAACTAGTTCTCTAAAGGACCACATGTGCATTGCTTCATTGGATATGATGGTATACAACAGCATATACTTGTGTAGACACTCTTATTACTGATTTTGATTGCAGGAGTTTTACTGGTAATGGAACATATTCCTGTATTGCAACTTTTAATAAAATGATGGAACTAAGTATACCTTCTACCACTGTGCAAATTAAACCTTACCAAGTTGTAGTACAAGTAACGCTATGATAGCAAACTCACGTTCTAGACAAAAAACTAATAAAGTAGACCCACCAAAAAAGGCAACAGCAAAACCCTCCAACACACAGCCCACTCGTCCCAGGCTGAAGTATCCCATTGCATTGGTGACTGTGGTGGGCAGGCCTCCAAACACTGCACAACCCAGGTCACATATGGCGAGGTTAACCAGGGCATAGCTGAGCGGCTGCCGTAGTTTTCTGTGTCTCACCGTCACCGCGATAACCAGGACGTTGAGGATGATCCCCGCTACAGAGAACACACCCATGATAATGGCCAGTATGGTGTAGCCAGTCCGAGACAGGAGCTCTGTGTTGACTGAGCTGTCAGACGATGAGGAGTTTCCACGGAGGGCGATGCTCTTCATATTGCTGAAATGGATTAAAGTCTGCAAGTGGGACTGCTTGCTGATGCCAAAAAAAAACTCCCTGGTGAAAAAAAACAGTGTTAATGGTCCATTGACAGGTAAAGACGAATCCAACTCTAAAATGTCCAAAATGTCCACAGCAGCAGCAGGTTCACAACATAGGAAAATCTAACAATATGACCTTGAACTTCTTCTCGGCAGGTGCTGCATGTTTGATGTTCATATGCAAACTGAGAGAAGAGATGGAGACAGGACCCTCTTAATAAGCCTAGTAAGAGGAGAGGGGCTCTAGATGATTTTTAATTCTTGGAAATCCGTAGATCCGGATTTTGAAGACAATAATTCTGTCTTATGTCCCCTAAGGCTGCACTTTCTCTGATTGCAGGGTTTACAGCTGTCCATGAGTAATGAAGCAGGGACTCCGTAGCACAATATGTGTTTCCGTATGTTTACAGGTAAATGCGTTGCTGCTGGGTAAAGGCATATAAAGAGGATTATAGCTTGCTTAGATCACACATTTTTGAATATACTGAAATATTCAACGCATAGAGATTTAACGCTGATTCGCCGCAGCACAACTTGTACAGGCAGCGCGTTTGGATTATCTTATATATTAGACAACCAAACAAATTTGTGTAAGCATGCATGGATCCAATCTAGACTACTTGCCTACAGACTGACAGAAAAATACTTTGGATTCGGTCCTGCAGGCGCCTAAAAGTCTATGAATGTGCAGGAGGCCTCAAAGAGTTACACTCCTGTGGCAGATAAGAGAATTTTGTGCTTCACTTATAGAGCAAGGAACAGCGCTATCCTCCCATGACAGGACAAAGACAAATTGTCCAGAACGACACTGACATTCCTCACTCCTCTCCCATAACCCTGTGTTGTGTGAGATTCTATGCACTGCTGAATAAAGAGACGCTGACTTCAAGATCCTCATTTTGAGAGTGGTGATTCTTCCTCACCCACATAAATTTGGTCCTTCTAGCCGGATCCCTGGAGCCATTCTTTTCCTCCTTCGGGCACGAGATTGAAAAGGCGGTGCACAGCAAAATTGAAATCCTCATCTGTGAATTCAGAATAAATGGGGGGACGGAGTGGTCAATGAGATCGAATTGAAGTGAGAAGTCCGTTTCTTTATCAGCAATAAAATGGTTCAATAGAGGTTTTCTCTACTCAGTAATCAAAAGAGGGTGTAAAGAACCAATATAAGTGAGTGACTGATCAAGGGGTATTGTGTTGTGTAAGCCCTACTGAAAATGGTGGTCAGATTCTAAGTTTAATTTAACAAAAAAATACCGAAAGGGAGAGGAAAGGTTGTGGAGAAATAACCATGGGAACCAATCAGAGTAAAAACCTCTGACCGGTGATTCAAATTCATGTTTATGTTCAATTCCTCAAGTGTTCAATGCTTTGAAAAATAGAGAAACAAATATGGGTTTAAAGGCACATTGCAAGTTGATGGATGTAAAAAAAAACTAGTTGAAAACATTGTGAAGGTGTGTTGGGGAGATGAAAAGAAAGAAAAGAAAGGCAGGAAAGCAGACAAAGAGAAGAGCAGAGAGGGAAGAGCAAGAAAAGAACATGATAATGATGAAGCTAATGTTGCGTCGAACGGTCTTGTGTTACAAATTCCTGTACGGGTCGTCGCCACTCCGTTCCATGACCCTGATCCTGTCCTGCCAGCCCAGCAGCCACCTCCCTACCCCCGGTCAGGAAGCAACAGGAAGTACACAATTCCCAGAACACACATACATGCACAAGAGCAACAACCCTCTATCCTGATCCTGAAGGTGAGGCAGTCACAACAGACCAGTCTGACATATTAAAAGCTGCAGAGGACAGTCCCTCTCCCAAAACTGATGTGAATGACTTCATTGTTAAAATGAGAGGACTGTACAACAGTGACACACTAAATGGGAACAAAATGGCTCGTTGTCTGACTACTGACTGGGCAACAGTTAGAGGGGACTGGAACCCTCCTGATAACGATGGCGATGCTTTATTGTGGGCCAACGATCTAACTCAGGCACTAGGTCCCCAGTTAACAGCGCTGTGGGGAAGGCTTAGAACTGCATATGGACAGCAGGATGACTGGAGCCAAATTGACTGGGTAATACAGGAAGAGGGGGAGACTGTGGTTCATTACGAAGCAAGGCTGAGAGAGGTATTTGACAGACATAGCAGAGTTCCTAGACTTCTAGATGGTGGACATAATAATAACCCCCACTATGACACTCAATTACAGTCTTGCTTGATGAGGGGGTTTTGACTTGAGATTACAGGTTGGATAAAAAACATCATGCTGGATGGGAAAATGCCACACTGGTGAACATAATGTCACATGCAAAACATGCTGAAGAAAGGAGGAATGAAGAAAAGGGTTGTGTTTTATGATGTGGGATTTTGCTTCTGGGCTGCACGGTGGACCAGTGGTTAGCATCGTTGCCTCACAGCAAGAAGGTCACCGGTTCGCATCCTGGAGAGGACGCCTGGGATCTTTCTGCGTGGAGTTTGCATGTTCTCCCCGTGCAGCGTGAGTTCTCTCCGGGTTCTCCGGCTTCCTCCCACACAGTCCAAAAACATGTTGAGGTTAATTGGTGATTCTAAATTGTCCGTAGGTGTGAATGTGAGTGTGCTTGGTTGTCTGTCTCTAAGTGTAGCCCTGTGATAGACTGGCGACCTGTCCAGGGTGTCCCCTGTCTTCGCTCTAAGTCAGCTGGGATAGGCTCCAGCTCCCCGCAACCCTAGTGAGGGTCCCTTAAGCGGTGTATAGATAATGGATGGATGGATGATTCTGCTTCTGGATTTTTAGGAAGAAAAAAAAAATGCAAAGCTTGACCTACATTATGACGGAGTAATTCTCCTCCAGGCCACCAGAGGGCGGCACATGCGCAGATGTGCTGCCGCTCTGAGGCGCCTTTAACCGTCTCAGTTTGGTCCCCGGCGGTAAACAGTCCAGCAAACATGGCCGCCTCCGTGAGGAAGGCAGCCCACGACATCGAAACGCGAAAGCGGACCGACGACGTGCTTCTATCGGAGGGAATCGACTTCGGCTCCCTGCTGCTGTCCCCGGCCGTGTTGGACGGACTGTCCGCCGCGGGCTTCCAGAAACCTTCCCCCATCCAGCTGAAGGCCATCCCGCTGGGCCGCTGCGGACTCGGTGGGTGCAGAGAACCATGAGTGTATGACGCATCACAAACCGGTTGTTGAAGTAGATTTGCAACAGATATTACTAAAAGTTGTGGAACTCCTCCAAAACGGGTGCAAATGTGTTTCCGTGAGGTCAGGTGTGTTTTAGCTTACTTCAAAATCACCTGCTGCCTTTTTGTAGGAGGAAGTTAGATGTGTTCTTCTGAAGTATGTCATGTCCAGGATCACACACTGCAGCAGGTTCATCTGTGTGCACCTACATGTTCCAGGCTGACACATCTTGAGCCCATATTCTCAGGTTATTTGACACACGCTGCTTGAATATATGCAGTGATCTTTGAAAGGAACCAGATGTTCCTCCACCTCTGGGCTGGGATTGTAGATGAGGGACAGTTGAACCAAACTTCTCAGATTGCACCCTGCTTATCACGTGGACCGAATTGTGCATCTCTGTTGTCAAATTAGATCACCTGTGACAACATATGAAATGTCTGCAATGACATGTGCGCACGAAAGAAGTCCAGACTCCCAGCAAAATCAGCATTTTTTCCCCAAATCAAGTGTGCATGGGATAGTGTTGCTGCAGGTTTTTGTTGTGTTTCAGTGCTGATGCTGCCAGGTATAAAGTGAACTGTCTGCCAGAGGCTGACTGTTTTGGCTGCTATATTATCTGTAATGTAAAAAGTGTGGCATACAGGCCTAACTGACATGTTTGATTATTGTTATTGTGGCTCGAATTTGCTGAAGTTGTGCGAGTGGCTGGTAGAAAACAGTGCTGTGGAAGTTATTGCATGTGCAGTCTGGTTGATGAGTAACACAAAGGAAAATCCAGTAGTGACGCTGCAAGAGCTGCCATCGTGCACAGTGGGTGCAACAACTAACCACTGTAATCATTGTGATTAATTTGTGGATTATTTTCTGGAGTAATCGATTAGTTTGCTATATAATATCAACTATTGGTGAAAAATGTCAATTAGTGTTTCCCAAAGCTCCAAGTTGATGTCTTGTTTTGTCCACAATCCAGAGATGTTCAGTTTACTGTCATCCATCCATCCATTATCTATACACCGCTTAATCCTCATTAGGGTCGCGGGGGGCTGGAGCCTATCCCAGCCGACTTAGGGTGAAGGCAGGGGACACCCTGGACAGGTCGCCAGTCCATCGCAGGGCCACACTTAGAGACAGACAACCAAGCACACTCACATTCACACCTACGGACAATTTAGAATCACCAATTAACCTCAACATGTTTTTGGACTGTGTGGGAGGAAGCCGGAGAACCCGGAGAGAACCCACGCTGCACGGGGAGAACATGCAAACAGTTTATTGTCATGAAAGAGTAAATAACATGTACACATTTAAAAAGCTGCACTCAAAAAAAAAAAAAAGTGACTCAAACCAATTAATAAATGAGCAAAATCAATTTAGTAGTCGACAGTGATTTGATTAGTTGTTGCAGCTCTCGTGCACGATGTTGTGCGTGAGCATTGTGGTTGTTAAAGATCAGCTGCTAGTTGGTTTTAAAGCAGCAGTGCACAGTGTAGGGTAGTGTATTTTGTATGTTGGCTGTATTGGCACCCAATGTGCAGAAAGAGTTACAGCTTATTACTAAAGTGCCAAAGTACAATCCCACAGTATGCAACTGTCTGAATCTTGTTCTGTGTCTTCCAATTTGGATTCTTTGTCTTCTGTCAGTTACTAGTAGTTCCTTCTCACCAGTGTTATGATCAAACATCTGAACAAGAGCCTCACGTGAAGTCTAGCATTCGGTCGTTGTGACAACAGAATGAAATGAGGGCTTTGCTCCAACAATGATTTGTCTACGTGAGAGAGGTTGTGTGATTGAAGCAATGTTGTTACTGATTGCAAGAATGACAAGATTCACAAAGCTGGAGTTGTAATATATTGTGTGGAAGCTGTGGTTCCCATAAAATATTCCCAGGAAATGAAGGAAGAGTAGTAAGTTGGGTGTTTTTGCATATTTGGGGTCTGGGGATGGACGTCAGTTCGTTTGATGGATGGACATGTTCCTAAACTCCTGATTTGAAATAATTTACTCTTAATAATCTCACCCGTACATTTCATGTGGCCGACCCTGGAACGTGAAGAAAACAGAAGAACAAAATTTTAATACATTGAATGTAAAATGGTCAGTCTGGCAACCAGATGAAACGACAGTTACAGTTAAATTAGCCCAGTTAGACTGGGTGTATGTATGTTACAAAACAGTCACTGCTGTTGATTTCCAAAACAGACAGTTTGATGTGAGAAGAGCCACACTCCTCTCTCTGGCTCTTTAAAAAAAAAAAAAAGTCACTCAGCTATTTTTTGGCATTTCCCATGTGTCAGTGCAGCACCATTGATGTCTCCCTGGAGCGACTGTCTGAAAAATGTGCGCCGTTATCCCAGTTTTCAGATGATATTGCATCTCTTCCTCTTCACCCCCAGGCTCTTCATTGTGCCTCCCTGCTTGACCGTTCTATAAAAACTACATCAAATCTATGGGTCACAGCTGACCGTTGTGGTTCTGAGAGGCCATAACCAGGCCCTGTGTGACTGTTATTGTATTACTGTTGAAACGACACAACGCAAACCTTTTGTCTTGCTTCGTTCACGCTCGTGCCCACATTAGTCCAAATGAAAGTTAGAAAAAATGCTCTAAATTGGCCTCATATATAGCAGCACACTTACTTTGATTGCTTGTCTGTAATTTGTTTATTTGGCCTAAAATAATGGCTTTTTGTTCCCCCAACAGTTTTTGTACAATGTGACTCTTTCACACTAATCATCCCAAAATGCATTGCTACCTTGGTCCAGTGTTACGCTCATCATGGGGTATTTATGTGCTTCATCTACTGTATGTTCTAAACGACATATAGCGTCCATGTTATTCCAAAGATTCCAACTCCAAACCAGAATTTGATTTGCACTCTGACCACACAGGACATATCTCCTTGTTGCAGTTTAGTGATTCTATTTTATAGAAATAAATTCCTAGAAGTTGTTTTTTTTTCTCAACAGCTTCTGACTAAAGAAGTTTTGTTGTCATTTCTGGGTTTAGTACTGTTTCATCCAGACAGCCTGAAGACTCTGAGGACGTTAGAAACACCTTCAGAAAAGCAGCAAATGCTTTTAAGACCCTCAGTTTTTTTTCTTTCCTAAAGATCACAGGGGATTTAATGTGGGGGGAAAAGAACAGTCTTAGCTCCATTACTCGAAGGTTTACAATCACCCTGACTGAAATAATTTAGTCACTCTTTAAGCCAAAAAGCCAAACATTTGCTGGTTCCAGCTTAACTATGGGGGTTTGTTTTTGTAATATAATTTGTTATGTACCATTTCACCTTGAGCTCTGGGAAATTAAAATTGTATTATCTTTTTTTTTTTTTTTCGCAATTTGACATAGACAATTTCCACTGCCAATTTTTCCAGGTAATCAATAATGAAGATTCTCATTAGTTGCAGCTGCACTAGTCGAAATCTTCTGACTGTTATGTCAGAAGGAGACTCTTGTTCTGTCTGCTAAAAGATGAGTCACTGTGGGAGTGGGAGGAATCTCAGATTAACTGTATGCCAGTGTTGGACACGAGTACCGGAGAGAACAGAAAATTATCCGTTTCTTTCTATTCAAAATGAAACGTGAATGTTTGTGTGCATACAGACTGTAGTTAATGATCTACTGATGCTAAATACGTACGGTTGACCTGTGCAAAGATGTCAGATTTTCTTTCTCCCAACTAATTGCAGTCAATGAAATTTACTTTCTGTTGCTCGAATCATTTAAAATGCATTAAATACATTTTCCAGAAATGGCTAATCTCCACTGAAAACAAATTTGGAGAAGTGGCTCCGCAAGGATGCAACTAGACATAAACAAACTGTGCCACAGACGAGATATACTGCAGTTGCTTTCCACTCGGAGGCTGCCTGCATAGCGTAGAAGCTTCTGCCGGCAGCTGTGAAGCGGTGAGTGGGTAATCACGTTGTACTTGAGGTAAACCCCTGTGATTGGTCAGATGGTTGAACCGTGGATAGGAGCCACTTGATTTGATGCAGCAGGTGAGGGGCTCTCGACATCAAGCGTCACCCAATCAAGTGTAATTAATTGTGGATGCCAAAATTGTGATTGTGATTATTCTGGCTAACTGCGCAGCCCTCACTGTCCATCTCTTGTTTCAGATTTGATTGTGCAGGCCAAGTCCGGCACCGGAAAGACATGCGTGTTCTGCACCATAGCCCTGGACTCTCTGGTCCTGGAGAATCCTGCAACTCAGGTGAGTGGATTTACTCAAGTGGAACTCATGGTGATGAGCGGACATATAGAGAAATGTGTCTTTGCTATGCTAATTTCACTTTAGTTGTAATTACAGCAGAATCGTAACAAAAGTTGTATATCAAAGTTTAATCAAGTTCTTATCACTGTCTCTTAATCTGATGAGTTTAAGTTGGTAAGTGTCAAGAGTCTAAATGAAAAAGAAGGAATATTAATAAAGGAGAGATACGCCTGGTCATGTTGAACATTCTCGTGCACTGTAGTTTCATTAGCTGTCCGTCTCATTACTGAACTATCCAGCACCTGTCCATCCTTAATCCGCTCTCAATCAAGTGTAAGTAGTTGCTGATTCTTCAAAAACAACTCTTTCCCCTCCTCATCCTGCAGGTTCTGGTGTTGGCTCCTACACGCGAGATAGCAGTGCAGATCCACTCAGTGGTGATGGCCATAGGCTGTGCCATGGAGGGCCTGGAGTGCCATGTTTTCATTGGCGGCAGGCCCGTGAGCCAGGACAAAATCCATCTGAAGAAGTGTCACATAGCTGTGGGCTCACCTGGTAAGAGGCCAGAGGGATGTTTTCATATTGTAATCACCCTGCTGTTGTTTCTGTCTCCTAACAATGTTCCTGGTTATGCACTCAGGTCGCATCAAGCAGCTTATTGAGTTGGGCATGCTGTCAACCGCCAGCATCAGGCTGTTTGTTCTGGATGAGGCGGACAAGCTGCTGGAGGAGGGCAGCTTCCAGGAACAGATAAAGTAAGACGGACACAAACATCTTTAATCATATTTAATGAGTTGCATGTTATGGCAGCGGGCCGTTGTACGGCGCGCAGATTGTTTTTCAGGCTGGGTGTTTAGGCTGAAGCCCTCAATGGAGGACCTGTCATTAAAATTCAAGAATGATAGCTCAACAACTTGAATCTACATTTACAAACCCTTCTGTGCTGAAATTGCCTCGTCTCCTTGCTCCTCTTCAGCTGGATCTTCTCCTCGCTCCCTGTGAACAAACAGATGCTTGCACTCTCTGCCACTTACCCAGAATCCCTGGCTCAGCACCTTACCCGCTACATGAGGGAGCCCACCTTCGTCAGGCTCAATCCCAGTGACATGGGCCTGAAGGGTAGGACGCTTTTTAATGGTCATTTGGTTGCTTTCGTTGGTGTAGCAAAATCTAATTCAAGGGGCTAAAGCATCACTGTCAAGCAGGGCCCTAAAGGTACTTTCAGATATGACTAGTGCTATTCTGATAGATTCCAATATGATATCTATGTGTTTGAGTTATATTAAAAATAATGGAGTTTAATTTATTAATCATCTGAACTACATCTAGTTTCTTGTTTTTTGGGGTTTTTTTGTGCCTCTATCACATTTTTACTCACTGTGGTCCCATTCTTCACTGCAGTATCAAGTTCTGCACCTCTATGGAAACACCACAATCGTGGATATATGCTTTAACATAAAGATATTTTACTATTTACATTTTTTATTGGTTTTCATACTTGTCTCCTGTCTTCTCTGTGTAAGCATAGCTTGCAGTTCAGCTGACAGTCTCTCAAGTTGTGCCACATGACTGTTGGCTGTAGTGAATAGTGGCTTTTTTTTCGTTCTGCCAAAGAGCACAGAATTTATTTATTTATTTTTTACAATGTCAGATGACTGCAAATGGTTTATTGGTGGCAATTCTTTTTAAATGAGACTTGTAGAATCAAGTGATTTTGATGGAATATCCCAGTTTTTAGCTTAGGTTTGATTTTTTTTTTTTTTCCAGACAAAACGAAGGCCCCATTTAAACGTAGCAAAAATGGTGATACTTCAATGCGTCTGGGCCTTTGGTTTACACGTAAACGAAGCTACAAGTCACCGATAACGATCATATCTGAAAACTAGGTCCACAGTGGAGATTTGGAAAAAGTCCGTCTTTACGTTTGTATGTAGGAAAGAGGAGACGGAGTTTGACGTCACAGCATGCGACAAAAGCGTCATGTGTGTGCAACCCATGTTTACAGTTTGGCTACTGTGATAGAAATGAATATTTTCAAGTATTTTACTTCTTTGGCCTCTAACAACACATTTAGGAGTAGCTCCACTTCTCTGTTGGTCCAAACAAACGACCCTCGCACTACTATCGTTGAAGTAACATGAAGCAATTTGTGCCATTTGTTGTTGTGATTTTTCCAGGGTTCTGATTGGCTAGCATGGCTTTATGCTTCTCGTTACACTGCCCCCTATAGGTTTGGCGTGCTCACAGCGGGTTTGTGTAAACAAAGATTTTTTTGAAAACGATCTGGTGTGAACAATGTTATTTTTGAAAACGTAGATCTGTTTTTGTAAATACCCGGCTATGTGTAAACGTGGCCTCAAAGTTACACGATTAGTTCATGGAAAGTTGGAAATTGCATCATTCTTCCTGTTATCGATACATGATGATGGTTTCATTTTGGCATTTATAAAAAACATACCTTGCAAACCCACTGGTGGATTTTAAGGTTCAGAGTGTTTACTTACCAGAAGTGTATTTCACAAATTAGCTATCGACTTACTATGAAGACTTGACTCTGCACCACTAGTGGCTCAGTGGTGCTTGGCTGTTGTACTCTGCTACATGTGCTGCAGACAGTGCTGAAAGTATTGTTCTGCTGGGCAAACTATAATGACACCATTTATAAATTACCCCAACCATCTTTTTCTGAATTGTGTTCTGTTTTTATAAAAAGGTTTTCATATTTAAATACTGCTGCCCCAATGACAAGAGTCTCCCCATAATAAGGCAGGACAGATGAGAGAATCAAGATTTAGAACAAAATGTTTTGAGAGCTTATTTCCCGCTAAGAAGTTCTTGAGGATTTGAGGTGATGGGTGGTAGGCAGAGACTAACATAAGAGACCAGTACTAAAAACACTCTTCTCTTTGACAGGATCTCATTTAAACCTTGTTTACTTTGAAGCCTCCAACTTGTGTTTTTTTTTATATTTTACAAAATGACAGAAAGTGGTTTTATCTGAAGCTAAGAAAACAAACCTTGAACTTCACACACATCAGTGACTGAACACATCCCACCAGGAGCAAAAAAAAAAAAAAAGAGACGTTTTTGATGTCAGTTTAAATCGATGATCTTACGTATGTTGTCTTTGTGTTCCACCCTGCCAGGTCTGAAGCAGTATTACAAGCTGGTGCAGGCCCATCCGCTAGCTCACAAGGTCTTTGAGGAGAAGGTGCAGCACTTACTAGAGCTGTTCAGTAAAATCCCATTCAACCAAGCTCTCGTATTTTCCAACCTACACACAAGGTATCAGTTCATTTTAATGTTTATCCTCCTTCATAGGTGTTGTTGTCTTTAAGACCAAGAAAAACAGTATTTCAGTTGTGGATTTGATCTTTGCATGATGCTGAACTGATACAGAATACATTAGATATGGAGACTGATTATATTATATATATTTTCAGAAGTGACTTGTGACATCCTCCTGTGCTGATTCTTCCCACAGAGCTCAGCACCTGGCTGACATCCTGTCCTCCAAAGGCTTACCTGCTGTTTGTATCTCAGGTGAGAGGTCCTGCAAAAAAAAAAAACTGTGATATTTGTGTCATGTGTAGTAATGATGAGATAATTTGAGGAAATAAATTGATGGAAATGTAAATAATTTCTACTTACTTAAAAAGTTTTTCTTATTTATTTTATGTATTTCTAATTGCGAGTAAAGCATCATTTTGGAGTCAGGACACTTTTTGTTGTTTTTAACTTCACATAACCTTATTTCATAAACTGAATCATGAAATTATGAACAAATAGTTCCATATTTTACTTCCAATTTGAGACTGTGATGTAAAGATTAACAGACGGATTTAATAATGTTTATTATAAGGTGCCAGCTGTCAGCCAGCTAGCTTCGCACAAACATAGGAAATATGAACAAATAGGTTGCCTACAGCGGATAATGTGGATCTTTCCATCTTATACTCTGCCAAAAAAAACTAATGAGCATATTTTGCCAAACGGTGAAACTATGGTTTACAGATACACTTTTTAAAGTGATATCCAAGCAGTGACTGCTGTGAGTTAGTAAGTGAAAGAGCAAACAAACAGCCTTGCGTCGTTGACTGTCTCAGCAGAATTGATCTGATCAGATTTAATGAATTGGTGTTTGACGACATGTGCAGGTGGCCTGAGTCAGGACCAGAGACTGGAAGCGATGTCCAAACTGAAGCAGTACCAGTGCAGGGTGTTAATCTCCACCGATCTGGTGAGACGCACACACAACTTCCATATGACACCTTGCATCCTTGTTTTTATCCTTTAATAAATCTGCTGCTATGCCGGTGTTATCAGCTTCTGAGCAATAACATTTCCATTTTTTTTTTGCCATTCCTTCCTCTGTGTTAGACTTCCAGGGGTATAGATGCAGAGAAAGTCAACTTGGTGATAAACCTGGACGTGCCGCAGGATTGGGAAACCTACATGCACAGGATTGGACGAGCCGGGCGATTTGGTCAGTCCCCAGAGATGTTTCGTTATCATAGAAACCAGCAATTGGAGGCAACCAAAGCAGCGTGGCTTGATATGTTGCATTTTCATCCTGTCTTAGCGGGCTGCACGGTGGCTCGTTGGTTAGCACCGTCGCCTCACAGCTAGAAGATCCCCGGTTTGCATCCCGCTGAGGACGCCTGGGATCTTTCTGCATGGAGTTTGCATGTTCACATTCACACCTACGGACAATTTAGAATCACCAATTAACCTCAACATGTTTTTGAAATGTGTGGGAGGAAGCCAGAGAACCTGGAGAGAACCCACACTGCACGGGGAGAACATGCAAACTCCACGCAGAAAGATCCTGGGTGTCGCAAAACCGGCAACCTTCTTGCTGCGAGGCACCGATTGCTAACCACTGGTCCACCTTGCAGCCCTACTGTTAGAACCTCCTTTTATCATTTCCTGTTATTTTAATGGGTCCTCATCAAGATTGTGTTTTGTTTGTAGGCACTCAGGGGCTGGCTGTGACCTACTGTTGCCATGGAGAGGAGGAGAACAAGATGATGGCCATCGCTCAGAAGTGTGACCTCAGGTTGTCTGCGCTGCCATGTGAGTCCCGATCCCATGTCCGCATGCAGCAACTTTCCTGTTTGCAGCCTTTATTGTTAATTCGGAAGGTTAATTACAGTCTCATCTGTCCGCTGTCCTTTCAGCCACCATAGAGCCTGGGTTGATGGACGAGCCATGTGACTGGGATGTCTGCACTGAGGCCTCCACCCCCGGCCCCGTATCCCAGTTGTTCTCCAGAACAGAGAAGAAGAGGCGTACAAAGACCGAGGCCTCTCAGTCTCACTCTACTGGGGATCAAGCTGTAGAGCAAAGCGGTCAAAGAAAGCCAGAGCAGACCCATCCGGCCCCGAGGCAAAGAGCACGCGGTGAAGACGGTCGTAGAAAGATATCTTCAACAGAGGACGCTTTGCCGCACAGTCCCCCTCAGGCCATCCCGACTCGAAAAGAGCTGCAGGACGCTCTGCCGAAGATCCCTCCTCTCAGCTCGTTCAAGAATTGCAGGTCAAAGTTTATGACCTTCGAGGAGGCCGAGCAGGATTTCCATAACTTCATCACCACGGGGTTGGGGAGATCAGTGGAGATCATCAGGGAGTTCAGAGGCCGAGAGGACAGCGGCCCCGATGACCAGAATGACTATCAAGAGTCGGTCACGCTTACTGATGACGGAGCTCTAAATTTAAGACAAAATGGTCAACGGTGGAAATCTAACTTGTCATCTCCTCAGTTAATGTCTGGTTCTTCTAGCTCCGATAGGGAGGAGAACCAGGATGACGTGACGCCGGGAAGGCCAAATCACACCAAAGTAACTGAATACAGAGCGAAGCCTCAGACTGAAGCTAGACATACACCCGCTGTGCCCAAAGCAAAGGCAGGTTCCACTCAATTTAAAGCTTGTGCCTCTTCTGAACCCAGAACGTACGCCCGGATACCTTATGCAACAAGTGGGGGAGCGTCGTCTCATCCTGAGAGCAGGGAGTCTGTAGCGAGCATTAAATCGAACTGGCGAACCAATCAGACAGCCTCAGCAGAGACTCGGGGAGATGAATCACAAAAGATGAAAAAACAGATTGGGAAACGGAGCAGAAAGCTCTCAGAAAAGATGAAGACAGAACTAAAGAGGGAAAGGGATGAAGAAGATTACATTGAGAAAGAAGAGGAGGAGGAGGAGGAGGAGTGGAGTGCAGAAACTTACTGGAGAGCCTGCTACCGAGCCTGGAACGATTACTACACCTGCATGTCCCCTTTTCAAGAGCAGGGTTACCAAAGCTACTACAGCGCAGCGTACAACTGGATGGCAGCTTATCGTATGAACGCCGTCTACATGGAGGAACTCATGAAAGACTGACTTTTATGTCAAGCACTTCCAATCAGTGAAAACATATTCACTGATGAATTGTCTCGTCTGTCCTGGCAGAAATGATCCTCGTGGAAAATGTTTGCACCTTCGTCTAAAACATTGCACTTAAAGGTTTTGTGTACTTTTCAATAAATTCTAATAAATCACTTGATCAGTAGTGCATTTTAAATGTCGTTTCTGTTCACTCATATGTTATTTAACTACTTTATTGTTTGCAAATAGTCTTTCTGTGTACACAAGAGTATAGGCCACACACTTAGAGCCATGAGTCCAGTCTGATGTATAGAGAAAGATCAGACTGTACCATGTACTTTATGTAATTTCTTCAGCAGGGCACGCCAAGGTCAGGCTCTACATGCTCCTGATTACAGTCTAATCAAGCTGCCCACCACCCACCCAATCAGCACCGGGCAGCACAAAAGACAAACACCCTTGGAAACAATTAATCAAAACTAGGGGCCCCCACTTCAGCTCCATTTTTTTTTTCTCCATCTGTAGCATTTATGTTGTTAAATCATGCAGCCAAAGGTTCCCTGTGCTGCAGGAGCACTGACCAGGACGCATTCATTAGAGGATGCAGATGACATTATGGATGCTCACACTTTGTGGAACGGCACAACTGGGCGCAACGACACCGACATGGACACTGCGTTCCTCATATTCAACTGCACAGTCCTCACCTTGTCCCTAGCGCTGGGATTACCCGGGAACCTGTGGGTCTGCTGGGTCGTGTTCAGAACAAAGAGTCTGCAGAACTGTAACAACGCCCTGCTGGTCAGCTTGGCCGCCAGCGACCTCCTCAAGTGCTCCGTGGACACTCCGCTGCTGCTCTTCTCCTTCCTGTGCCAGGGGAAGGACGGCCAGGTGTCCGTGTGCGCCCTGCAGCAGTTCACCTACTCGCTGTGCAGCTGCGTCCAGCTGCTCACTCTGGTCAGCATCAGCGTGGAGCGCTTCCAAGCCATCGCTTTCCCCTTTCAAACCGAGAGGAGGAAAACCAGAGTCCGGCTCTGGATCGCGTCCATCTGGGCGTGCGGCCTCATCTTGGCTGTAATCTCTCTGACGCTCTCCAAAAAGGCGCTTTTCTACATGCTCTGCCGGCCGCACGTCGGGGGCCGCGGCCACCTGCGCCCCGCGGATCCGTTCGGCCCCTACGTGCTGGTGCCGGTGTGGGGGCTCTCCCTGACCGTGATCGTCGTCCACTACGTGCGAATCTTCAAGTTGGTGAGGCAGCACCGGAAGAAAGTGTTCAACCGCGGGGTCCAGCTGAGGCCCACGGTGGCGGAGCACGTGTGGGGCTGGCTGAGCGTCCCGGCTTCAGCGCAGCGGGGCTCCTGCAGGTCTCTGCCCCGCAGCCCGCTGCCGCTCCGCCGGACCACGCTCCTGGTGGCCGAGGCAGGCGCTCCGTGTGCCGGGGCCGCCGCGGCGAGACCCCCAGAGATCGTGGGGGCGGTCTGCCTCCTGACACCCGGAGCCAGGGAGCGAGGCAAGAAGCAGATGGAGGGGAAGCTGGCCCAGCGCTTTGGGTACATTATCATCGCGTTCGCGCTCTTCTGGGCGCCCATGGTGGTCATTTTGCTCATGAACGTCATCTCATGGCCGGACAGAGTGAGTGTTGTTGTTCACACAATATGCAAACCACGCACAACTCTACAATACATACAAGTTGTAGAGATTTCTAATCTGAGCTCTGTGAATTAAAAAACAAAACAAACAAACAAAAAAAAACACCTCTCCAAAGAAAACTTCACTTCACAGCCAAACACAAAGCCCGAGGAGTGTTTAATCACAATTTAGCAAACGGATTAAGCAATTTATGAAGAAAAATCCTTCCATTTGCTGTAAATGGTTTCTACTATTTATTTTTCGAATATTTAATCTTTTTGGGTTTGGGCAACATAAAGATGCCACCTTGGACTCCTGGAAACTGATTCACTATTTTCAGTTAGGGATGCACGATATATCGGCGACCACATCAGTATCGGCCGATTTTTCCCCATATTTCAGTATCAGTCTGATGAACTAATGAAGCTGTCTGACATTAGCATCTCTACATTTGATATTGCTGCTATTTAACAGATGGTTTTACTTAAATGATGCTGGACTTGAACATTAACTATGTTTAAATATAAGAATGGGCTTCTTTTGAATAGTTTTCACATTCTCATAGTGCTTACTTATACTCATTTTTCAGTGTGAACAAAAATTGAACATCGATAATATCGGTTATCGCGATATCAGAAATCTTAATATCGGATATCGGTATCAGCCAGAAATTTTAATATCATGCGTCACTATTTTCAGCCTCCCCCCCAAACTCATCAATTAGTCCAAAAAAATGAAACATCAGAATCATTAATTGCAGCACAGCATTGCCTGTCACTAATCTGCGTCCTCTCCTGCAGTTGCTGATGGAGCTGGAGACATCAGCGGTGGTTCTGACCTGCGTACAGGCTGCGGTGGATCCCCTCATTTATACCTTCGTCACCAGGCAGTTTCGAACCGAACTCAGCAAGATCCTCTCCTCCCTCCCAGGGTGTCCCCTCAAACTGAGAGCCTGAAGGGTTTAGCGCTCGGATATATAAACGTGTGTCACAAAAGAGTTTGGAAGTGAAACTACCCCCGGAGCTAAATATATGTACGAGCCACTACCTTGTGTTTACGAGTGATTACAAGGCGGCGGAAGGGGAAGAAGAGAGCCTCACAGATTGTGTATTTGTGGCAGATATAGATGTTTTATCAGGCGTTTCACAGTCGGGACACAAGACAAGGTCATAAATAATATCCAACACCTGACAAGATACGCACAGCAGTAGTCTCAACAACGACAGGTGGCATAGGAGGGCAAAGCAAAGAGTGAGAGGAAAGAAAACTGACTGAGCCCAGAAAAAAGACAATCAAAGGAGAGTACATAACAGAGAAAAGAGAGAGAGAGACAAACACAACCACAGACCTGTTTTTGCTGTTTGTAAATAAAAAAAAAATGCCATCCTTTGACACTTTGAGCAGGAATATATGCTTACAGTATATTTCAAACCGTGTCATTTTTAAAGTGCAGCTTGACAGAAAACAACCTGTTTTTGAAAAACAGGGAAGCAGGAAATTAATCACGTTTAATCACTGTCCTCAGCAACAAAATACAGGGAGCCTCACCTCTGCCGATACCCACGTCACGCTCTTCATGTAGACTTCAATAGATTCTAAATGTCGGACTTTATGCTGTAAATATGAAGTCAGTGTCTTTAACCCCACTTTTAAAAAATACACTTAAAAAGCTCTGTCTGTCTGTCTGTGCTTGTTTTCTTCTTCTTCTTCTTTTTTTTTTACTCCATGTAAATTTGAGCACAGTTTGACTAAACACGAATACTGGATCTAGGCAGTTGTTGTCACTGTGTACAGTACTAAATTAGCAGCAACAGTACTAGATCACTACTAGGAATATCAGAGGTAAAACACATCCTGCTCCAACTCTGTAGAATAGTTTTGGCTGTGTTCGGGTTGGGACTAGCCTCAGGATCAGAGTAGAAGTAAAGTCCAACAGACCCTTGGATGTTATGTAGTGGTGCACTGATATGGTACCAATATGCCGTAGATTCCACCTGTTGCCTGATGTAATGATATGTCTTTTTTTTTTTCTTCTCTCTCTCTCTAAATCTTAGTACAAATACATATGTAAAACTGGTTAAGCTTTTTAAGATGTCTCCATCTCAAGTTAATTAAATACATATTTTTAACTGACCATGATACATTTGCTGCTAGTGTAACAGTTTTAAATAGTCTACTTCTACAGGAAAAAACACATCAGCTACATGTGGGCAGACGTAATATTAGACCAGTTCCAGTATTGCTTTTTGAAATATGCTGTTGGCTGAAACTGGTGCAGCTCTAGCCCAGTCTGTGTGCTCTTGATCACCATTTTTGTTTCATCTACTTGGAGCAGAAGTGGGCGGTTAGTCTCCTACGACTGAGGCTGCTCTTCTGTGTTTTGGTGGAACTCCAGCAGTATCACCCACCTAAAGACAGACCTAACTGTCTCTGTGGCTGCTGAACCCAAAAACGACATTCGAAGATGAAAAAAAAAAGCCAACAGAGCAGCATCGGCTCGGAGGTTAGCAGAGTTAAAAGGTCCTCGTCCATAGTTGAAAAGGTCAACTTTGATGGGATATGATGAGAAGTAATACTAAAGATATATATATATATATTTATGTATATATATATATATATTGGTCTGGGAGTCGAGAGAACACATGGAACAGCACATTTTTGGTGATCTGTGGATGGTTCATCCAGCGTCCTCCGTGTCTCTGTGGTCACTGGTACAACAGACCTTCCCTGCTTGAAATTCTCCAGAAGATAAAGTAAGTAAAATCCTTTTGAAACACCAAGGAGGACAAAAAGTACAAACACCAAGTTTCCTAACCACATAGAGTACACATACTCAACAACTTCTGAAAAATGCCCGCTGAGTTTGGGGAAGAAAAAACGTTGACAGCTATAAAGACTACTGAAAGCATACTGTTGTTCACACAGGAGGTAGGGAATACAACAGGACAACAACGAGAGAGAGAAAAATGCAGAGAGAGGAGAGAAGAGACAGAGTGAGGGAAAGAGAGAGAGAGAACGAGAGGACAGCTTCACTGGTTCTGCCAAACGATGGTCAAATATTACAAAATATTCTATTAACAATATTCACAAAGATCCTGGGCTCGGGACAGATTTGTGTCAGAAATTCTCAGCGAATGTTTTGTGCTTTTAATTGTGGTGGTTTTGAATTTCAAAATGGGTTATTTTATTTGTATTTTTTTTTGGTTTGTTTTTTTTTTTCCTTTTTTTTTGTTTTTTTTTTGTATTTTGTATTTTTTTGGTTTCTTTGTAAGAGAAATTGAGTTATTTGAGGTCCGTCGGGCTGTAAGAGCCAAAAGGGAAAAGAACAGGGAGAAATTCAGAAAACTATAAAAACAAGTAAATCTCTTTTTACTCCAGCAAAAACAGGCACATATTGTGTAAAAGCCTTGTAGCTGAGAATTTTGGACAGAAATATGTGCAAAGAACCCTTCAGAGTGGCAGCTAGTCAAATATACCGTATACTGAGCCATAGAGACTTCCAGAAGAATTGAAACACGAGTTTTCAATCGACTGAGAGAAACGCACACAGACACACACACGCGCTCGCACACACACACACACACCTCCTATCGGAAACGTCACAACTCCTCTATCTAGCAAAAATTCACATGCACTCATTCACAAATACGAAACTCGTTGGTAACGCCGTCACAGACACCTACCGCATTTCAGCTTTTTTTTTTCTTTTTTTTTTAAAAGAGTTTTTTACTCACGTGGAATAATATTGGACCTGAAACAGAATGGTGGCATATTTATCTATCAACAGGTAAGTGGACCAAAAATGACACAAAAGGATGAATCATTTTGAGGGGGGGGAAAAAAAAAAAAAAAAGAGTTCGATTATGTATTTGTTTTTTTTCTTTCCCTTTGCGTTTCCCGCCTGTTCCCTTATATCTCCTGCTAAAAAAAAAAAAAGAAAAGAAAAATCAAACGGAAGCATAAATCATAAAAAAGGTGCATTGTGCACAGTGACACATGACTTACTCTGGGAACTCACCTCTGACACTTGGGTGGCACACACTCACTCGCCTCCTTGTCTAAAATAGCTCCTTACACGTCTTCCCTATTGTTTCACTCACACGCACACACATGTATGCCAACCGCTAACATGAAGTTACTGTATCTAAAAGCCATCCTCCGTTTGTACAGGGAGTCCATGTCTTTACAGTACATGACCAGCAGAGGGCAGGCTCCACCAGGGCCAGGCTAGGACTCCGAACGCCTTCCTCCTCCTCCATCATTCTCAGTCCTCCTCTGTCCCTCAGTCTGTCTTGATGAGACTTTATCTGTCTTTCCGCGCCCTGCACTCTAGTTTTCACAGTGCGGACACCTTCACGACATTTTGGTGGGTGGGGCCTGCGGGCAGATGAGCAGCGTCGCCCTCGGGGGTCGTCACCGGTGGTGTGGGAATGCTGATGATTGCTGTGGTGATCTGGCTGCTCTGGCAGTTCAGAGGTGCTGGCTCATCTACGCGCATGTTCAGACTGGAGCGGCTGCAGGAATAAATGAAGGAAGAAAGTCAAGGATTAGGGTAATCCTGGGGAAATATTTCACTCAAAGACAGAACAGAGCTTCAGGGGAGATGGGTTTTGTGAAGGTTAGAGTCCCAGATCGACTGTGGCTGAAGAAAAGTTAATGAGAAATCCTCCTCTCTCCTTTGAGGTGCCTTTAAAAACGATAGTTGTGCCCTTAGACCCCTTTCAAAGTGAACAAACCCTGGAAAATCCTGTGTTCAAATGAAATATCCGTTAGTGCAAATTGGTCAACAATCCCCAAGGTTTTAAAATTCTTTTTTTTTTTTTTTAAAGCTCCACCAAACTATAATTAGACGAAAGGAGAATCAACAGGTAGAAATTAAACGTTCACAGTGCAGCACAAAGACAGACTCCTTATCGTGTTAACAAAGAGCCAACACTCATCTTTGCAGATCTACACGGCTTTCAGCTGCTCGTGAAATGGTTGCAGGCTTCTTTAGTACACAACATTAAGTCAGAATAATCAGTGGATGGTGGACAAACTTGAGCTCACAAAATTCACAAAACAATGTGTTTCAGCCACAAGTTTGTGGAGCAAACCAAATGAAAAAAGGTGCATAAATATTCAACACACATTTGCCAGGTGGACAGAAAAACAACTCCACTGGGAACCTCATGTCGCTGTGTGTTTTCTGAAATCTGGAAATGATCGTGAACATGCACAGGGCACGCTGGGATAGGGTTGATCAGAGTCACTTTGTTTCCCATTTACATCCAGGACTGCGTATTAATACACATCACGGACAGCTAGCGGACTGATCACTGCATTTGGCAGAGAGTGTTTTGGATAAGGATCGCACACTCCATCTTTAATTATAAGCAATTGTAAAGCAGCCAATGTATCGTGGGTGTCTTCCTGTAAGTTAATTCTTAAGTCTGACTGGCCAAAAGTTGTCAAATAATACAACCTAAATGTCTCTCAATGAAGGCCTCAATGTGGACAAAATTCCCTTTGTCAGAATCACAGATGACTAAATGTTATGGGGACTACGTGAGAGTAAATTAGCACCTCGTTGTCAGTTGTCGTTAGTAACATGGTGGGTAATCAGGCTAATGGTAGTGGATGGTTGAAAGTTGTTAATTGCTAACCATTAGCCCGAACAGTGAATCTGGTTAGAAGGTACTTTCTAAGATGTTCCCCTGCCAGAACAGATTATAAAAGCACACTGCCACAGGCGAGAACATTGTATGAAAAAAAATGTAGTCAGTGAATGATAACTATATTTTCCTCACTGGTTTCCGAACATGGCAATCAAGAAGTTTGGATAAAACGAGCATCTTCTATTAAAAAATTACATTTGTGTTTGCCATGCTTTCATTTTCAGATGGGAAAACATATTTATGACGTAACCTTGACCTGATTTTATGAGGTAAGATCCCAGATTGTACAATATAAAGTACAATATCTCAATATAGACTATTTTCTTTAACCCATCACCACCGTGGTACACAATCTTTTTGCCTTTGATAATCTTGATCTTACCTGGTGCTGAGGGGCTGGATGTGGATGGTACTGAGCTCCTGCAAGCCTTGTTGGTGTGTGTGCGTGTGTGTCAAAGGCTGCATGTGTGCTGGGGCACTGGCATTCGGTAAAGGGGTGTGGTGCTTCTTGCTCCGGCGGGTGCAGCATGTCCCGGTCACACCGTCCTGGCTGGACAGGGAGGGGCTTCGAGAGGGGTAATTCTGCAGCCCTGCCTCCAGGTAGCTCTGCTGGTAATACTGCTCATCCACAAACTCATGGTTCTACAAACAAAAGACAATGCAAAGGAAGTAAGACGGAGTGAGAGAGTCATAAAAAAGACGTGACATTTACAGCATCTATATTTATGACCATGTACTGTATATGGTTTGTTATATCCTGTCATTTTCTGCTTCTTCCCCGGGTCAATAACTCCTCTCAGAATGTGTGATTATTTTTTATATAGGTGTGCATGGCACTGTGTGTGTGTGCATGTCTACATTTCAGTGTATTGGAGCCAGGTTCAGAATAATTTCTACTTCCTTAAAGCAGATATAATCAATATTTCTATATTAACAATATATCACACAACCAGTTGTACGTGAAAGGAATCGCTCAGAGCGATGAATTCACACAGAATTATCACTGCAGTTCCTGCCAGTGCTACAGAGCTTTGTGCAGACCTTGAGTTCAATGTTGTAGCTGTGGAAACTTTACTGTTCTGGTTCACGCTCACTGCTCTCATCAGCATTGTTTTCAGCCAAAGCATGCAGCAGTTTGCATACAGCAGACAGACTAATTTAGCAGTTGAAAGGAAGTTAAAGTGAGCGTTTAGAAGCCTAAAAGAATTTCCCTCAAGAGTTGGTGGAGAGCAAAATAGTGCAAATACAACTTTAAGTGAATTAATGTTGCCCTTCTGTGTAAATGTGTAAATTGGCCACTATTTGCTGGTGTTGGCCAGACTGCATCACCTTCAAAAGGCAACAATACGTCAGTGTCGTCTTCCCGGCTTTTTGCAGCTCCCCTTGAGTGTCCCAAACATCCTTCACGTGGTCCGTTTTATGTAGGATGAATAATGAGAGTTTGGGTGCGTGTGCACTCGCCCATGATTTCATTTGCCATGCTCTGAGTTGTGCTCGGCTGAGACAGACAGTGTGTCTGTATCGCATGCGGGCAGGCAAGCGTGTATCATAAGGGAAATGCAGTGTACTGGACATCACGGTAGAGCGAGCAGTACTTGTGCATGGACATAAAAATACTGTAGATCTATACACATTATGCCCCAGCTATTTTCACCTAATGAGCCACAGCTACAAAAAGGTCTGTTGAGGACTGCGCAATTTTGGCTTCTATGTTGATATTGAATTGCAATTTTAGAATCTAATCGATTGATTTTTTTTCTGTGATTGAGGAAAAACAAACATTCTAACAGATAAAAAGCTGGAGCGTGTGCATACTCACGGTGGTTTTCTCCAGACAGTGCAGCAGGTGGTGGTGCTGGCTCTCTAATAGAGAGGTAGACTTGCTTAAACGTTGCTCATCCTCAGTGGAACTCTGCAACACACACACACACAAAGACACAAATACACACCCACAAAATGAATACTACGCAACATTCTCTTTTCGGAAGACACTAATCAGATGTTAGAGGTGCGCGGCCAACTGCTGTCTCAGTACCTGATCTGAAAGGTTCATCTTGTATGGAAGTTGCTTGAATTGGAGAAGGAGACAAAAGGAACAACAGACATGGGGTTTTACTAGTGTTCATAGGTCAGCACTGAAAACAGGCAGCCGTCAGGGCTGCAGTAATGCCAGTCAGACACGGAGGACATTACTATTCTGACCCTGAGAGGGATGTCTGCTAACATCAGTGGAGCCGGTGCATTGATCTGTGCCAGAAGGGAGACTTTTAGCACAACTCCCGTCTTAATAGATATACAGTATATACAATTCATATAAAAATTTCCATCGTGACATTTTGCCTCCATCTCTGTTATTGCAAAGGCTTGCTAGAGGCAACTCGTTAATGACTTGTTTTCCATATTCCCTATTTTTTTTTCTGCTGTGGCCTGTTTATGTGTTTGTTTGTTTGTGTGTGTGTATCTTTCCGTGAACAAGTGGGTGCTATTTCAAGTTCTGTGGTGGTTCGGATACAAAACTCATTTATAGGCAGTGGGGAGGTGAGTCAGACAATAAGTGGACTATCGACTGCTGAGGAGGCTCACAGATCCTCTAACAAAGTAAAGGAAGCTGCAAAAATATCTAAAATAGCGTTTGATTGTCAATACACCGCAGTTCATTTGCTTCTTTTTTCCCTATTTATATTGTTTTATTAGTTCAGTAAATTATTCTGCTGTCACACCTTGAGAGGGAGTTGAGGTTTGTAGAAAAACATTTCTTTTGTGTAAAAAAACCGAGATCACATTAGAAACACAAACCATTATAGGCTTTTGTTTTTTGGCTTTGTGTGAACTATTTCTACGGCAAAATTTGAAATAGCCTCTTACTAAATTTGTCCAATGATTTGGAGCTTGCATATTTCTGTGTATCTAACATCTAAGTGGGATGTTTTGGAAGAGTTAGTGCCCAGAAAACACAGATTACTTTGCATTATTGGAAAAAAAAATTCTACATAATCGCTTTAACTTGAGCCCGGAACGATGTCTCTTCAAGTATACCGCAGAATGCCATCATTGCTCTCGTCAGAATTACGGCCGTGTTTCACATATAGACTTTCAATGGGTTGCATCAGTCTTTCCCAGCAGAATCTGTGGTTGAGCTGTTTATAAAAAAAAAAACCAAAAAAAAAACAAAGCCAGAAAGTACTGCCCTTATCCTGCATGCTCCACAGCACCGCCGAGAGGCAAGTGAAATGCCATGTTTGGAAGATTTGTAGTAGCAATTTTCTGTTTGTTAAGCGGGTGGCGGGTGTTGTAAGCAGAGACTTCTTTGCTGAGAGGGTAAATTCCTGCTCTGATGACTCGGTTTTCTCGCAGACAGGACTGCTCACCTGTGTTCGTGCTGCTTATCTCTACCTAACGCAGCAGTAAAACACAGGTGTTTAGGTTGAGTTATTTCTGTCCCTCTCTATACATGCCACTGCGAGCCCATATCGGCAGTCTGTCTGGAGGCGGCTATGGCTCACCACCCAGGTGGCCGCCATACTGCAGAGTGGAAACAGCTTGATCTGCAGAGTGACAAAACACGCTGTGTCGCTCTGCATGGCGCTGTTCATATTGTTGGTAAATAGCTGCCTCACAATTAAACCTACGTCTGACAGCAATTATCATTTTACTCAGCTCGCATGTGTTTTCAAACACTCGCCCCTAAGCTGTCGCCTTTGGACATCGGCAGACTACCAGCATGTTGCTCTTTTTAAGTCCAACATGGTCAAAATGAATGTTATACAACATAAAAGATAGATTATTATTCTGAGAAGCGAGCACAGGTGAATGTCTCATGAATTTTAAAACGGTTGCATCTATGAAAAGAAAGGGGAAAAGTCTTACTACTGATAACGCTGAACCTAATTAGTTTTAAGCTGAAGTTGCACAATATGGAAAAGGGAAGAAAACATTTGGATGTTATCAGATATTTTAATTATGTGTTTTTGTGCTGGTGATTAACTTTAAAATTGGACATGGTGGTCTTCATGGAGCAGTGCACACTCTGCAATGAATATAATCTTAAATAAAACAAAAACGATTAGCACACGGAGCACTGTAAGCAATCCAGAGAGATGTTCTGCTTGTCCTCACAGACTGTTTCAGCTGCTCATCGCTGATAGATGAAATACTTGGCCAGGTCATGGTTTTCACTTTTTTTTTTGCTTCTTTAGATCTCTTGTGTGATTTTGGCAGTGTGCTTTGGATCATTACCACGCTGAAATATTCCTCTCCTTCAAAGCTTCTAGTCTGTTGGACTCATGTTGCCAGCCAGTATATCTGTATATCCACAGGTATAATTTATAAATGTCTTTTTCCACTCATGCAGCCACACATCCACACACTTTGAACACTGTGCTAGACTGTCGGGATTATGCATTCACTGTGGTAGTCCTGGCCAGGTTCATGGCAAAAAAATCCCCTTGGTCTCATCCGACCAAAGAATCATCAGCTTCTTTTCATGTTATTTAATTAATTTTGTATAATTTTGCAGTTTGGTGCCAAAAAGCAAGCCAGAATTGTTTTCCTATTTTAGATTTTGTCCTTAGAGCTGGAGCTGTCACAGACTCTCCACTGATAATGCCTGTATTTATAATAAAGTCTTCCTCAAGTATTTGTTTTTGACTGTTCACACAAGAAAATCCTCCATTTGTCAACTTAGTAAAAAATGTAATTATTAAGAGGTGACACAATTTTAAATCATTTGACTTTTAAGTGATATCACGCAGTGGCGTATACACTTCTGTTGTATACTACACATTACTAAAGACACCTTGGCAGCTCGTTGTCTTAGTGTATTGTTTTTTTTAAGGCATTCATATAAATTTGATGCATATTTCACTCATAGCTTGTGTGTTGCTGGTGCCATTTTGATTTTGTCCGCACCATTGCTACTGAAGAGCGATAAAGCAATAGAGACACACAGAGAGTGAGTGAGAGGGTGGAGGAAGCACTTGTTTTCGTGCTGTGTCAGCCCCGGGCCGCTATAGTGCTTGTGAACCGCAACATTTTTGGTGAAGCAAGGAACATCCTTGAGTTGTGTTTACTTTTCTTGCTGCATTGCCTGAAGCCTGTTCCTCAGCTGGGCAGCTGGGTTCAGAGATGCTCACATTATAAGTGCCGCTTATCAAACAAGATTGCAGTGAGCTGCACTGATGGGATGTTGGGATAATTAAAGGACAGACAAGCAAGGCCTGCACCTAACAACAGAGTTACCACAGAGGTCAGTCTCCTTGTGTCATCATTAAAAATACTAAAAAAAAAAAATACCACAACAGTAATTGTGTCCTGTGGGGTTTGGTATTCTGTGACCTGATCGTAACATTGTGCATTGCGGTGTCTGTGCGTCTGAGACAGGTCTTACCGTGAGCTCTAGAGCTTCGTTGAACAGGCCGTTGCGCTTGCTGTGGAGGAAGGCGTTGGAGCTTCCAGTCTTGGATATTCGTATCCTGGCCAAGCGGGCTTTCTGCAAAGACCAAAGAAACCACCTGTTAGCAAGTGCTTACACCACATCCTATGTCAGAGCGACTGCGGATCATCCTGACATCCCACTGATTTGAGCTACAGCACTTTTGCATGCTTGATATTTTAGTTGTGATCTTATAGATCAAATCAAACATGGGCTACTTAAGCATTCACTCTGATCTCCGGTGATAAATTCACTCTGATCTCCAGTGATACTTATGAATGATTTATGGTGACTACACGATAACACATTCCTTGGGTTTAAAATCACTTAGAGTGGCAGTTAGGAGTAGATCAGGTAAATCCTGTATGAATTAAGCAGCTAAACGTCACTCTGTATTTGAAGCACGGAATTCACTTAATTCGGCCCGTTTCTGTGCTGCTATGTTCGCAGTTTTGTCTGGCAAAATAAATCAAGTATGTGTCTATTCCCATATTGCTCTGCTTCTTTACTCCTGAGCCACTATGTTAGTGTTGGCTCATATGCATCCTTAGTCATCAAACCCAGTACATCACGATTACAGTACAGTTCAGAGTCTCTTTTTTCCTCTCTTTTTCCCCCTCATGCTGTCAAACATCTTGTACGTGAGGCAGTCAGCAGCAGAGATGATGATGAAGAAGAAAAGGCAACAAGGAGGAACAGATACACTCTGGTCCTTGGAGTGCTTTTCTTTTTTTTTAAATAAGTAGCTTTGACACAGTGGAATGTACGGAAACATTCTTACTACACTGCACGTACTGAATGTGTGTGAAAACAAGTCTGAGTGCACATTAGTTTCGATACACAGGTCTATGTAAAAACGTAGGTCTCAATAAATCTCTCAGTTACCAGGACAACTGCTTTTAAAGGATAGTGTAATCCGAGTCACTCACTTCTCAAAGACCTGCCATTTTCCCATCAAAGTCAAGAGTTGGGTGTCAAGCTCGGCGCAGCTACAAAGTGTGTGTGTGTGTGTGTGTTTTGTCGTTGCTTTCCTCTCTGCATTTTAAAACTGAATGATGGATTCATTGAAGAGAAACTGGTGGAGGAATAATGTGAGCTGTGTAGACGATGAGCAGACGGAGAGCTCGTTCAGTCGGGGCCTCATTCACCACTGAAGGTGGAGGAGGAGGAGGAGGAGGGGGGTTAATTCAGTGCGCGGATGTATGTTTGCTTATCTCCATGTGCTTATGCATGCACGCCTCGTCTTCATAGGCAAATTTCCATACATATTCATGCAAACCATATACTGTGGAGCACCAGCAGGAATACCTGGCTCAGTAAGAGTATGGTAATGAATGGTAATTCAACCTCGTCCCCCCACTTGAGCTTCATTTAAAACACGGTAATGTTTGTTGACCTGCGCATAGCTCATGCTGTGATTTAGTAATCTAAGGTGAGGCAGGGGAGATAAACAAGAGCGCACATATAAACACAGGCGCAAAGCAACCAATCTTCACTACAGCATCTATAGCACAACTCCCTTTAAATTGTATCATTATCAGTATCATTATCTTTTTGTCGCCCTCCTTCTTGCTCTCCTTGACAAGTTCTCCTCGCTCTCTTTTGCGCCCTCACACTCTTATGTACATTTGTGCTGGCACAGCATTCCCACAGGCCTGCGGGATAACCCTTCTCCATGTTCCGGCGTTGTGCTCAGCCAATGGGATCGTCTCTCTGGGGCTCACCATGCAAACAGGAGCCCACCAACGTGGCAGTGGTTGCCAGGCAGCGTGGAGGTAATGGAGGGGATGTTAAGAAGACGTCCTGCTAGATTGAATCTACTTCTGCAGTTCTCTGATAGATTCCCAGGGCCTCTGGGACCAGGGCACTTGTGTCGAAGTCCCATCTGTGTTTTCAGGCAGAGCCACGGCACGACAGATTGAGCATGAATTGCTGCTGAAGCATCACTGAGAGCACGGAAGAGAGTCAGGAAACCATGGGCGGAGGGATTTCATTAACACCTACGTATATGCAGATCGCCCTGTGGAAGGCTAAATGGGCCAAAATATAGTGTACCTGCGTTGCATTCTTCTACACAGAGATAACCACACTTTAGGTCACACACATGGAGAACACAGAATAACAACTGAGGTGCTCAGCTCCATTACAAAAGACAAATAAGCAATTTTCTCAGTACTGCAACAGTAGTTTCATTCACACAGATGATCCTGCAAGCTGCCTTGGAAGCAGATGATTAAGCATGTGGTATTTGTTACGAAATTAAAATATATAACTTTTGATGTCAAAATTGTTGTTCTAAAGTACTGTACATTCGAATACTAGGTCCCTCACTGCTATTTTAAAACTCAGCATTCCCCTGGTAAACAAATGAGGGTCTAATTACATAATACATGGGGGAGAGTCTGTCCCATAAAAACATTACTGCATTGTTAGAGTCCCGCTGAAATCACATTTCGCTGTCCTTTTGCAGTCACAAATAATTCAGTGTGTGCATGTGTTGTCAGATTTTTGAGGAAATATCAGAAGTAATTATTTTCTTCTTTATTGGCTGGAGGGCCATGTCAGTGTCTATATGTGACTGACATCAGCTGGTAGGCTGTGCACCAGCTGGGGAATGAGAAACAAAGTAAATTAAAGCCGCAAGCGGCGATGGACGGGTCCTCGCCCTACACTTGTCGGCCTTCGCGCACGGCGGGACTGTGATCCGGCATGTCGAGT